TCCCGGTCGGGGAAGCCAAATGGGTTTTTAACACTCCAATGTACGCGGTTTCATCGTCCGAGAGGTAAACTCAAAAAGGACAACTGGCCAAGGTTTTTTCTCATGAGGTTTTCCCTTCAAGCCTCGGCGGAATTGCGGTACAGGTGGAACTGACGAAGGGAACAAAATGTAAAAACCCGACAGAATATATCATAGATAAAGAATTGGGAAATGAACTATAATTGTTTAGACAATAAATTTTTTGATTTATCAAAGCAGCTCATGGCGCAAAGTTGACACTTAATAAAGCCATATGTAAACAGAGTATAGTGGACTTTGGAGTTACATTACTAAAACAACAAAAAACTGTTTTAATATCATACAAATAAAGCCCTAGATGGAATTTAATTCAATAGACAATTAAAAATGAATATTTATACATCCCAACTCTTTAGTATATTGTTCTCGTGACATCTTTAAATTAAAAAATTTTATAATTTTTGTTGTGCCTTACCTACAAACAGGTTCAGAAACTCCCAAATTCATGGCATAATTTTTAGCTTCCTGAAGGGTCTCACCAACTTTACAACCAGGCTTACAATAAACTGAAATCATCCCCTGAGGTTCTTTATCAGAAGCAGCTTGCATAGCAGCTCCTCTGACAGCAGCAAGTCTCAAGCTGTCTTCCATACTGATACATCCAGAGAATACGAGTGCAGCCAATTCTCCAACACTGTATCCGGCAACCACTTTGCAATTTTCCACAGCTCTGGGTCTCTCCTCCCAAAGTTTTTCAATTGCAGCTAATGATAGAGCAAGAGTCGCCGTCTGATTGAACTCTGTTCTATTCAGTTTCTCTCGTGGCCCTTTCTGGAGGATTTTCAATACATCATAGCAGAGAATTTCGTTTGCAATATCAAAGATTTCTTTGACCCTTGGAAAACGTAAATAATCGTTTACAGATCCAACTTTTATCGTTCCTTGTCCGGGAAACACCAAGACCGATGATTCACGTGGATCCTGACGAACTCTATCATCTTTCCCTGGAATAATCGCTGTTTGGGGATACGGAGAGGTCTGCCAAGACGGATCTCCCATTTCGTTAAAGTTTGCTGCATCATTTAGAAGCTGTACCACTTTATTTTCAGACTGCAGCGGTTTTTCTAATTCTTCTTCAACCTTTTCTGTGGCATATTTGCGAAGGAACACGTACCGGCTCCAACCTATCTGTTTTGGAGCCATCGCTCCTCCTTTCAACAATGCTCTGGGCCACATTTTTGGGACTGATAATATCTCCAATTATTTTTAATAATTAGTTATGAATATCAAGCTGTACTTTTTTCTACAGACATCAATAGGCAATTTTTTTGCTACTTCGCAAAAGTTTTTAACCACACACGTGAGGTTAGTTAGTTTAGGTTAACTCATCGGAGCAACTTGAAGTAAACCACAAGAACTTGAAAACGGAACTTTATAAGAAATTAGCCTAATGATTGGTTGATTCCATGCAGAAATCGCCATATTGCCATCGCCGAGAATTCACCATTGGAAACAGTTCTGCATGATTCTGCAGTTGAAAAAAAACTTTCAAACATGGCGGATGTTTTGTTTGTGTGAGAGGATGTTCACACTGTTGGGTAAAATGTTTAGGATCAATTGTTTTGTTATTCCCTGTTTAATACGTAACATCTAACTAGAAGTTGAGAGTAAAATGATGGTGACTGTTGATTGATATAATAGAAAGTAAAAAAATATAGCGAAAAAAATGAATGCAACGAGCCTTTATGTGTCTACGTGTCGCCTAGTATTGCAAGCCGACTCAGAGGATCCAAATTCTTGGACCGATTTATACAGACTTGTACCTTATTTGCGACAGAGTTTGAGTTGTACAGTGTGCTCAAATCTTCTTATTGAGCCCCTGACACCGACTGAAACAAATTGTCAACATCACGTGTGTCGTTGTTGCCGTGGTGGACGTAAAAAATTAAAACCATCCTGTGGGTGGTGTAAAGATTATGACAAATATGTGGAGAATGTCCAGTTGAGGATACTGTTGCAGTGTTATAAAAAACTATGCGAGTACCTAACGAGTACGAGTATTTACAGAAATCTCATTGTTTCTGTGTCTTCCAATGTGACGAGCAATGGAGCATCTAGTGTGGGTGCTGGTAGTCTCATGGAACTCATCCAGGAAGGCACCGGGTTTAAAGATGAGTTTAAAAGCAATGCTGGACTATCAAAGTCGGCTTATAGCATACTTCCTTGTGTTTATACAAGCACTACGTCGACACAGACACAGGGCAATACTATTCAAGGCTCTACCGAAACACTTCCACAAAACGTACCTGGTAACTACTATTATTTACTTCAATTCTTTATTAAATCCAATCTGTCGCAACATCAATTCATTCGCCGTTTCTCAAAGAAAAAGCAGCTATCTCCAATTTTTTTAATCTTTGTTATCTTTTTATTATTTTTCTTCAACTCTCCGAGAAAACTGAAAATAGTTGTTACAGTATTACAATAGGTTATTGTTGATAATAATTTATGTTGTAATTACCGAAAAGCAGGAGGTACTGGAAAATTCAGCCGAGATAATTTTTTGGCGAAAACTCGTCCCTATATACTTGTATAAAAAAAACATATGTCCTGGTGAAGGGTAGAAATTAGATTTGATATTTTATATCTTTTTACTTGGGGTAAGATTCTTTTATTACCTTTTGTAATATAAAAAGCCGGTTCTCCATCATATACCATTGTGGCACATTTGCCTAAAATGAACAATTATAACTTCTGGTGAAATATTCATTACTGGAAAACAAATTCACTGACTGACCTCCAGTAGAACTTAAAAAAAAACGAAAAAAATTACTTTTCGAGAGGAATAATTGTTCAATCACAGAGCTGATATAACTTTCAAATGTTTTTATTTTATCTTAACATATGACTACTCAAATATAGTCATTAAAGACACGTTGATTAAACCATTGTGCGATCATCAATAATAATTCTATTAATTTCCAAATAGAGGATACGAATAAAAAATCATTAATTTGTATATTTGACACTTTCACAGAATCACCTGCAATTAGAACTGTCTCCAATGGCTCCTCAATATATTCTGTGATGTATGCTGGCTCTGGTAATAAGATAACGATAAAAAGGAAAGCCGCAGCTGTCGAAGACACTGACATTGTACAGCAGGATGATGTACCAACGCGGGCTAATGTAGGAGGGGTAAAATGCATTCCATCTTCACATCTTTCATACGGAACTACTTCTCCGAAAAAGTCTTCAAAGGGCAGCAAAGTAATTCTATCCCTACAGAACAATCTTTCGAATTAATTTTGCATCTCAATTAATATTGATTTAACCACCATGTCACATTTTATTCCAACAATTGAAAAAACAACTAATGCCCATTCACAGATAATAAATATATCACGTGACATGGATGCATGTATGCACACCAAGCTCCTATGCATGTCACTTATGTACGTTCATTTGAATTAATTACAAATTATTTTATCATGCAGTCATCTGCTAGTTTCAAGAAGCCACGATCGAGTTCAACAAGGAGTAAAAGGAAAGGATGTCGATGCGGCAATGCAACAGCTATACCCGGGAAATTAACGTGTTGTGGTCAAAGGTGCCCCTGTTACGTTGAAAGTAAACCTTGCATAGAATGCAGATGCAGAGGATGTAGAAATCCTCATACGGCTGATGGACTTAAGGTACTGAAAGCTTCTAAAATAAATTTATTATCTTTAATCTATACTATTGGGTTATGGGTAAGATGAATGAAGTTGAATGTACTGGATTTAATTGGAACTTTTCATTAACTTTTCACGGGGTAGTAGTATCTGCACTCCACTGATCTCTGGAGAAGACTGAATGCTAGTTACAAGGAACAACACAATAATCGTAACCAGAGATAGAACTTTCGGTTTTTGCATCCTATGAAATGATTGTTTATGAAAAGTCGAGGACCACTATCTATAACCGCTATTTTTTATTATAAACCAATAGCCGGAAAAGGGAACAATGGTCTGACTAAAAAATTTGTGGTTGAGGAGAAATATCGGAATATTAATGAATATTGTTGATAAACATTTCCAGGCTTTCGATTCGCGCTTCAGAAAAATTGTTAAAAATTGTGATGGAGGACTTAAATACGAAAATGTGTTGAAATACCTAATGTATTTAATGACTATATTCCAGTGATGAAGAAAATTGAATAATCTGCTTTACAGATCCGGCCCCATATACCAGAACTTCACAATCTCCAATTACAACTCTCGACACCTCTAGACTGTGACACATTGGCAGCAGATCCTCTCAGTTCAGTGCAACATCTATCTACGTCACCAACAACAATCCAAGTTCTAAACGTTTATTCAACACCTCGACTAGATATTGATAATGTTCCACAGAATCTTCCAGCTGCATTACTAGTCGGTGAAGATGCAATGGTGAGTACCGAAAGTGAAGCTGAAGACAGTGATATACAAATTGATGTCTGACAACGTAATTGATAATGCGTTTGAGCATATTTGAATATTATCAGTTTCCTTTCCAGTACTGTAAAGTTGTATCAAGTCAGTGTTACGAGTAGCAATACAAGAGTTATTTATCTCGAAATAACTTTTGAGAGTGCAAAATTTGTATAAAGTGTAAAAGTGTGTAATCATAGGGCGTGTGTGGTTAGATAGTTTTTTAAGTAGAAATTATTGTAAGAATTTTCAAATTTTTTGTACAATTCCATCTACTGCTGAAAGCACTACTTTAATATCATTCTTTTAATCACTGCGATTTATTATGAAAATAAGTCCAGAGAAATCCTGACTACCGAATTGAGATAAATATACCAGATAGGAAACATTAACGAATGATGAAACAATTAATTTACTATACAAGCTTGGTTCGAATATTGATGAAACAATAACAAAGATGATCAAATCATTGCGAGTGAATCATTTTCAAAATTACTCCAGCTTCGTCCAGACCCTTGACTTACATCTTTAACTGTTCATAGATCATTAAATTGTTGACAAAATTGAATGATTTTCATTGAAAGTACAATTAATCTTCTAATATCGTCATCTCAAAGCTCGTACTGACTACAAATACATGGCATTAATAAAATAACACACCCATAACGATTTGATCAGCATTGTACATATTTCTCAAATAATTTTCATACGCTATCCATCAACGTGGAAATGATTGCAATAATTAATTCATCTTTACTTTTTTCTACCTTATCACATGAATGATGAGATCATTTTTTCGAGTATCATCGATTTTTCACAGTTACTATTATTCAATAAACTATAACTCCATTACGTAAATTACAACAGGTTTCGAAAACATATGGAGATCTTTATTTATGAAAAACAAGAAACATTTGAGCACTGAAATAAATTTGATCTTTGTGCAGTGGCTAATATTGGAAAATAGGAATTGTAAATCTATGATTATTGTTGTTGATTGGCATTGACAAGATTGGAATCGCTGAATTTATTATCTTGTCATTAAGGAAATTGAAATTATTGTAAAGTCCATGGAGTAAAGAAAGCTTAGTACAAAATTATTATAATTTGAAAATTATCAATTCTGCACATGTCGAAATGGCCTTGAATATTCGTGAGATGTGGTGAAGCACAATTGATTTCTCAAACTAATACGTCGTATCAGTAATAAGTAATTACAGTACATAATTACGAAAACATTCAAAGTGGAGAGAGAAACTAGTGGGGAGGGTTATCAATGTGATTGACATCAATTTGCATAGTATTTTTTGTTCATAAGGTATCCTTGTAGATACTCACATGATGTCATTACATGAATGAGGAGAATAAACATATTTTTTACTTACCACGTTCTTATCAATTTCATGGATTAAAATGGTTTCGGTAATTTTTCTGTTGATGTTTCAGGAAAGTAAAGCATTTTTTTCAAATCGTTTAAGCTGTTCTCAACGATTTTTCAACCTTGCATGCTGACATAGTAGCTCAACTAGTGAAAAAAAAACACAACCAACAGTGCCAAAGTTTCCATTTTTATTTGGTGATTATTTTGATGTTTCTCGAATCAGTCATTTTCATAAAAATAATCCAGAATTTTTTAAATCTAATTTCATGAGCGTTAAGTCATTCAAAGAATCCTGTGAACGTATTTCACTCACAAAAATGGTAATCAGTATTAATGTGTTAAAATTGATTAAAAAATTTGCCTTTTGCGAGTAAAAATTCACAGGATCATTCGAGAATCATTGCAACGTTGATGATACTTTCAGGACAATTGATAAAACAATTGCACAAAGTTTAATGAGGTAAGCTCATCGTCGAAGATGTGATCTTAAAAAAAACCAATAATTTGAACCAACTTGACACACACACGGAACGATAATCATTTGAACTCTTCAAGATGGAAACACTTATCATTTTGGATTGTTTGCCGTGGAACCTCTCCTGGTGGTGAATTAAATAATTCCTGGTGAGTGTCATAGCGTTCCTATAAAATCGCAGAGCAGTTTTTCAAATATTTTTGAAGAGCGAGCACTCGACTGATATCTCGTTGTCCGGTAAATTCGACCAATTGTTATAGTTCATTGAGTAGAAATTCAAAGAATCGTGAATTTCACAACCTCGCATAGTGCTTCTAGAAATGATCGGAAATATATATATTCATATATATTTTCTTTAGTTGCCGATCGCGTGAATAAAAGCAGTTTCACCTTAGCGAAACGTACATTCTTCATATCCAGATTATTGTTAGTTTTTTTTCCTCTTTTAGAAAAAATTAATGATGTATATTACTGAATCACATTTCAAAATGGCCTGTACGCCTTAGAATGACGCGTTGGTATACTTCCACTTATGTGCCTCGTCCAATGATCCCAACCTATTGTTTTCGTGATTTCAACAAATTTCTCGTCGATATCCTTGAGTGGTTTGTCCTCGTAGTAACGTGTCAGGAGTTTAAGGTAACGCCCGTAGTGTTTGTTAATATGCGCGTGCCATAAAGACAGGATCAGGACCTTTAAAAACAGAATAAAGTAACAATCACTAAAAATAACGACTCAAGCTACGAAAATTCGAATGATTCAGCTTCTTACGAAAAATTCGGCAGATTTCTGTGTACACAATTTAAATTAAAAAATTTTTTATTGGAGGTTTCTATAGTGTGAATTATTAAATTGGTCATAACTTAATGAAAATAAGAAATGCAATGTTTCCAAAGAATATATAAATTTTAGTCTCCCTGTAGTCAGTAGTGAAGCTATAAAGGGAGATGAGTTGACTTATCAGTTGAATTTTCGAGCAATATTTGAATCTAAAGCAGATAGCGGAATTTTTATAATAACTATTGTTGTAGCACTCAATTGGTTCTCCAAAAAAGGCTATTATAAAAATGTAACTATCTTCTTTAGATTTCGAGATATTCATTGAAAAATTGTCAATATTCAAAATTGACTTATGTTCGTTTACAACATCGCTATTGAATTGATTGAAGACACACCATTTGGCAAGAGCTGATATTGTTAGTTAAAATAGGAAGAAACTGGGAATCAAATAGTACCTTGTTATCTGTGGCTTCAGCGTATTTTTGGACATCATTCCAAATTTGTGTTACCGTAGAAAGATGCATAGCAGCTTCAGTTTCACCTCGTTTACGCGTGTGAATATATAATCTCGAATAAGCACAGCCCTTTTTAACGAGTGCCTCAACTAATAGATTCTTTTGTTTGTCCATCGTTGATTTGATTTTAGAGGCATCGGGTCTCTGATCATGTTTCATACCGTAGAATGCCAATAATTTTTCTTGATCGATAGCAGCAATCACTTTGTCGGCAACATCGATTATTTGATCGGCGAAACTTATTGCACTTTCACTGAGATCATCATGGGGAAGTATTCGTCTAGCTTCGGGGGAGTCTAGGGACGTCAACATGGCAGTATGGACGGGTAAATGCTCAGGATAAGTGGTGCGAAGCTCATTGTAAAGAGCTGTTGCGTGCTCCGTCGCTTCTGGAATACGATAAAGAATTATTTATATTTTAATCCTTGTATTCTAGATCATTCCTGGAAATTTTATCAGGAGAAACAAATGGATTGAGTGAAAACGACGAATGTAATGAGGGAGATTAAAACACTGAGCTAGTCACAAAATACTCGCAACCAACGAATAAACTTACTGATTGATGGAGCTGGGGGAAAAAAAATAAAGCATGAATCAAATCGGTTGTTTAAATAATAATTTCGTAGAAATTCAAACTAATTTTTCTATATTTTTTCGCATCATTCGATTTTTCAAGAATTAAGAATTAAGGCCCGGGTGGACTACCTATAGAACGTCATCTTTTGTTTAAATTTTATCTTTCTAGCCTAAAATACATAAAAATTTGGGATAAGTTTTGAGGTCACGAAAATCACTGGATTTGGCATGAAAAAATAATGAAAAAAAAGAGGAAAAAATTTTGAAGGGCGCTAAAGAGCAATATTTATGAAAAGGGATTTTCCAGGTTTACAAAAAAATAATGAAAAATCTGCAGCATTTGATTGCCTGTAGCTGCATTCAATTCAGTGGAGGGTTTGGTTTGTGTGATGAATACTTGACATACATGCTACATATTTTTCATTATTTTTTTGTAAACCTGGAAAATCCCTTTTCATAAATATCGCTCTTTAGCGCCCTTCAAAATTTTTTCCTCTTTTTTTTCATTATTTTTTTATGCCAACTCCAGTGATTTTCGTGACCTCAAAATTTATCCCAAATTTTTATGTATTTTAGGTTAAAAAGATAAAATTTAAATAAAAGATGACGCTCGATAGATAGTCCACCCGGCCCTTAAGCTATTATATTTTTTCAAAAGATCTCAGCACGTGTATACCTTCAGGCCATAACATAATTTCAGTAAAAATCAATTCTCGAGAAAAATTATAGGCGATAGAGAGTCCATGTCAATTTTCATTATTTGTCGTAAATGTCATTATCCTATTGACGCGAAATTAAAAATACCATATGCTGTTCAAAAAAAAAAGGTTGTATCAACATTTTTTTGTAAAATGTAGCATAAATCTAGAGTTACCTAATTTTGCCAGCCATGTACATTTCATATCTCTCAGTGTATCCTGATACTCGTCCCATTTGCTGACCTTTTCGTCATCCGACTTGACCGCTTGAGGAACTTTTTTAGCTACCTCGGATAATACGTATTTGAAGGTGTAACAATCGACTTTCTTCCGTGCCTCATCTTTACAAAATGTCACTGAGCCCTGGAGATAGGTTCCCAGTGTTGCGCCCTTTGATATTCTTGAAGTAAAACGATATATCGATTAGTATCAGTTCCATACTCTTTCAATATCAAAGTAGTAAAATGAGATGAACTAACTCGACGTCTGGATACGTTCTATACAAATATCCGACGAAAACTGAATAATTTGTATAGAAAAATTATTTATAAAAATGTTCACTGCTGCATGAATGTAGTTAAGAAAAAAAAGATGTTGCATTTGAAGCTTGAAATAAAAGCCATGCATTTTAGCATGATATGATCGGTTTGAAAACTCAATGAAAGTTTTCAATTACTCGGATGAACATCTTGCAAAAGCGAGTGAAACCACAACATCTGCAAGACTCAAACAAAACCAATCGTGTGTAGGTAAAACCGACTCACTTGCTTTCTGAGCTGCTTCGCAGTAAATAATAAACAAAAATAAAATAGTTCAATTAATAATTGATTTCGCGATGCTAAACACTTTGACTTGTATACTTAAGTAGTGAAGTGGTAAAGCTTCCTAAATAATTTGCGATACTTTAGCTAGAAGTCCACGTTCACCAGAATTGACACGAATGTACAACATATTTTGAGATAGTACATAAAGAATCAGGTGAGAGATTTCTTTTTCGACGAACACATAATTTATGGTCGAGCGTTTCATACCTTTCTGATACAAAGATTTTTTTTGTCAAGAAAATATTTTCATACTGCCGGTTGGTACTAGAGTTGGTATTAGAGTATACAAGAACGCGTATGAGAATATAATGCTCTATCACTTCATTACAGATTTTAGATACTTAGAAAGATTCGAAAAAAAAAAATGATACTCACTTATTTTCGTTATTCATGGGAGCTACGTAAACTGGAAGAATATGCCCTGGTGGGACAGTAGCAGCGACCATTTTCTTTCCTGAGATAATGGCCTGTGAGTGATTGGCATAAACATCTAAATTAATTACATTCGCCAGTTTCTGATTAAGTAGAATAGCCATATCTGTCAACTTTTCCAATAGATCCTTCCTCTCATGTCTAACATGCATTCTGAGGGTGTAATCTCCTTTCTCCAATTTTTTAATAGTGTACTTCCACGGAAAAGCGTCACCACAATGCAAAAGCTGTTTATTCGAGTCATAAAGCATCCACAGTTGGCTTTCATATTCACTTTCATACAGAAGATCACTGAGAAACGCAGCATTTGGTGTTACTTCGGTTGCTTTAGCAATGTGGAATGTATACGTCAACTGTAGCTCGTAAATTTGACGTGCAGGTGGTACAATATCTCTGTCACCAAGAGGCACTATTTTCGCTTCAATAGGCCTTAAAACCTGAACGAGGGATTTAAGTGTTATGCTCGGAACAATTTCCTCATTTCTGAGGGAACTACGAAGCTCCATCCGATGAATTCCATCGCCAGATTGCATCGTCATATTTCCATCAATCACATGAATTCCATGGAACTCAATGGAATAATCAATATAAATTTCGCCGAGATTAGCCCAGTACTTGGCAACAACAACTTCAACAATCAGACCTCCCTGTACAGCAAACCCTTGAACAGTCTCCGACTGTGAAGTGATGTTAATCATTTTATTGATTTGTAGAGTTCGTGATGCCATTCGTGGCTTCAATTGCACAGCTTGTATAGCAAACCTTCCAGTTTTTTCTTTATCATTGCTCTTGAGTTTGATAACGGCCCACGTTGCGTCCTCAGGTACGAGAATGAAGTGGCGATTAATAGTATTCGGTTTGAACAAAACGTGATTGTAATGCAGATCTGGTACATTAATTGATTTTGGAATAGTCAAGGGCTGAACGACAGTAACAGGAATAGTAAACACTGGGCCTTTTTCAATATTTGTGACATCGTAGGCCCGAATATTAGTCGCATGTACACCATCATTTAATTTAACAGCGTCTATTCTCACAGTAAAAGCTCTAGACATGTGCATCAATTCAAAATGCGATGGAAATTGTACCCAGGAGGCATCACAAACCAACGAAAGTCTGAGATTGAAATTAATCTTTCGAGATGCATCGACATTCTCGGTATCGAGAAAGACCGGTTCAACTGTTATGGCACAGTCCTTCGGTCGATCAATAGCTCCAGTCCTCAGGTGAATACCTTTCGAGTTATTAGTTCCACAGTTTATCGAAAATCTGACGTCTCTCTCAATAGCTTGACAGTTGGTCACGAGATTTTCAAAAGCACGCTCTACCTGAAGTAAACCAGAACCCTGAGCGAATGAGTCCAATGAGTCTATATATAGCGCTGAATTTTCGAGGGCTCGTTTAATGCTGAAAGGTGAGAAAGGACAGGCTTTATCGCGCAAGCCACAGATAAGGAGGGCTATTGCACCAGCAACATGTGGACTCGCCATACTAGTACCATTCATGAGTTGACTCTGTCGAAGGGTGAAATTTGGAACGCTAGTTATTGCTCCACCAGGTGCACAAACAGTAACACCAGTACCACCGTCGATCATTGGCCCTCGTGACGACCACGTGTATGGCATACCTGGCATTTTTTCACGCAATGAATATTCAGCTACCATCATATCCGGAGATACATATGCACCCACACTTATTATGTTCATGGTATTGATATCTGGTGGTGTACCAACGGTACATAAAGCTGGACCAAAATTGCCAGCAGCCGCGACCCAAGTTACTCCATATTTGTCAACAACTTCATTCATCAGCTCGATGATCCTTCCTGTGTTAGACCAATGTGATTGTTCCCCGTAACTCATATTGATCACATCAACTTTTTTATTATTTTTCATTATCCAAATCATTGCTCGAACTAGACCAGTTCCAGTCTCCATGGGATCTATACGGTTGTCGCCAATTGTTAAGGATATTATTTGAGCGCCTGGAGCTACCCCGTTTAATTCTTTGTTCTCCGGAAAGTTCGCCGCTGCTATTGATGCAACGTGGGTCCCGTGACTTGCTAATGAAAGGATGGTTCGTCATTATGTTACTAATTATGCATCATTTTTTCAATAAATCAGTGGGAGAATCAGAATGCATGCTTCAGTCTGTATGATACTAATTAAAAAAAAATTCCAGCAACATTTATTATTCGAATCAATAAATAACAAAACAATACTAATACTTTTTCATTTTAACCAATTAGTTCTCAATTATGTCGTTATACTAATGATCATGCAAAAGTATGAAGAGTTTTATAATCGAGATTAATTTTTCAGATAGAAAAAAAAAATTCTACTGATTAGATGGAAGGGTATAGTGGAAATTTCAATGAATCTTTTCTCACCGCATACTCCAACAATTTCGAGAGTATTCCCATTGTTATGAATATTGACAGAAATGTTGAACTGATCTTGCTGGGTAAGAGGAGCATAATCCTGAGTGAGGGAGTACTCCCCCAGATGAATGCCAGCCTCAAGATTTCCCTCCTCGGATGTATCAATGCATGCTCTTTTGATAAAGCATTATCGTTTATTAAGGAGAATTTAATTTGCTCCAATGGGATGAAATGACTCTAGAGAATTATTTACCTCCAATTGTCACCATCATGGTATACAACACAGTCGTAAGTGGGTCCTGCGTCATTATACTTCTTCTCGCCATTTAGGAGTACCTCAACCCGAGCCTCTAATTCTTCTTTCGTCAATTTATCCTGAACACTAGTTGGATTTGGATTTTTCGCCTCGAATTCCTGCAGAAAGAAAACATTTCTTGACATATTCCCACATGAAATTGGGTAGATCCTTCACCGATAACGTTTAAATCATTACATAATCGTTGAATTCTCAAACTGTCAATGAATCAAACTTTGCCAATGACAAATATAGCGTGGCGTTGAGATGATAAAAATACACAATGTCCTAATTAACAATACGTTAGTGTCAACGTCCCCACAACCACCCTATCTTTGGATGACTTGGTTTCAAATTCTACTTTTTTCCAATCTCCGATTCTCACTATTATCTCAAGATTTTCGAGGACATAATTTTATTAATGAAACCTGAAGTTTTCGGCTGGCTTCTGCAAGTGCTGCTTTATGGCCATCATCCCAATATTTTTTCTTCCTCTCCGCTATTATTTTTTCACGCAATTTTGCTGGATAAAGCGGATAAGCCTCTTTAACTCCAACATGATATTCACCAGATGGATTTTTCCAGTTGAATGGTAGCTTAAACGAAAACATTCAACAATATTAAGATAAAATGTGCCCTTAAATGGCGAATTTCGTATAAACGAGTGGTTTGCTCAAAAAAAAAAACAACGACATGATAATATAATTTGAATAATTAATTAAAAAAATAATGAATAAGGGAAAAAGAGTTTATATTACCTTGAGTTTGCGACCGGTGAGTCCAATGATGTATCCCTCCTCCGAATGTACAACAGTGCTGGTATCCACGTCTCCATTCCCACTGCAGTCAAACCGAGCAATAATCTTTGGTTTTCCATCACTAGTCAGCTAAAAATATAAAAACAAAGTATCCATCAAAAATAGTACTAAAACCCACAAAAGACAAAGAACGTGCAGAATAAACGCCAGAAGCAACGAATTCATCAAGTCTAATGCGAAATTGCAAACTATAGATATAAATAAATATTATCACATGTAAACAAAGTGCATAGTGGTACATTGTAGACAATAGCCATTGAGAAAAAATCATCACCTGTAATCCAGGAGCACCCGGGTCGACTCCAGAATCGAAGATAGCAATAACGGTACCTCTACCATCGTATTCCGGATATTTAATGAGATACTGGTTAACTCCAGTTTCTTTCTTGGGTAGCAGTCCCCATACGGGAAAATTACAATCTACGACGTCCCCCATAATGCAAATTCAAAAACTTCCAAATTTTTATTGTATCTTCTTATCCAGAAGTGGCCTCTGTCGCGCACCGTGACGGTAGAAAATCGTTATAAACGCTATCTTAGTGGTGTTTCGGCCTTATATATATATGAACATAGGGGTCGAGGATGAGGCTGACAGTTCGAAAATCCACCTGTAGAGACACTGATATTTCTCATTTGACTCTATCGATAACAAACCGATTGGGAATTGTAAGTGCGCGAGTGCGCGAGTTCATGACTTGATTGAAAAAAAAATACATCAGTCCAATTCATGAGCATTAGAAAAATTCTATAAGACTTATTTGTCTCATTTGCCACCATTTAATCAAGCAATCATATAAATACATCAGATGTTGTAGATTTGCAAGTGTAAATGATCATTTATGAAAACAAAGTTAATTGACAGTAATGCAAAAATAGAGTGGCATTTGTGGAATGTTTTTGTGTGGAACTTTCATTTGCTGGATTGTACTGGAATCTCCAATTCCTGTAATTTCCCAGGAACATTGTTATCCATGGAATGCTATAAACAGATGATGTCTAGATTGATTGATCCAGTGAATTGTTTACTAAAAGAAGAATGGTGAAAATCTTGGTTAAAGTCATTGGAGATGATGTTTTGAATGTTTTTTCACTGTTTTTATTTCTATTTCTGGGGGAATAGAATGGCTTTGCTGGTATCACGGAGATGATTTATGAAAGTGTGTCTAATTTGTAGGGCAATTCTTAGACCACTGACTGTGCAATTCAGAATGCAATTGAATTGCTGATTTCATTGAGGTTATGTCGTCATATGTGGTTTTGAGCAGGTCAAACTAGTCTCACCTGGTAAGGATAAATAAATTGGTGGAATTATGGTGATCGGGGAAGGTGATTTCGAAGATAAATTGTAGTCATGTAAGGCAGTGATGATGTTGGTCTCACAGCGGAAGATGAAGCAGATTGGATTCTTCGCTTTGTGTATTTTGCTCGGTGAGTTTGCAAATTTTTTTGGTATTACGTAGACACAGATGCCGATTTTTGGGGTTTCTTCCACCAAGCTTTCAGTTGTTATGCTTGATATTACTGTCTTTGATAATTAGGCTCAGCTGATAATGGATTATCTTTTTTAAATTATTCTATTGCTCCCTGGATGATCGAATGATTGAATAAAATCCATTGGTTAACGTACTGGTATAAATAATCGGTTTATTCATTTTTTTCTCTGTATGTATTTTGTTATTTTGTTGAACATCTGGATGGTCCACTAGTCATTTGTATTTTAGTTTTAAAGGTTTAATTCGATTCGATTTTTAAATGTGACATTGTGACAGTTTCAATTTATCGCAAGGGATATTTAATTGGATTAATTATTTTGATCAATAAGAATTTTTCTAGATAGCTACTAGGATAATAAATATGAAATAGTTCATAAAAGAGAGGAAAAATTCTCATTAATTATCACGGGTGCCACGATAGACTCATTTTTCAAACTACAAGTTAACAAACTTACGATTCTGAAATATTTATATCTTCGTTTTAATGAAAAAACGGAATTTAGAACTCTTCAAATGAAATATGTAAGCCATTACGTCAAAATCTTAACTCTTATTTTGTTGAAACATTGAGAAGATCAGAACGGTATTGATTCAATTTTTGTTTTGCAAGCAACTGTCAACTGATAACAGATTTAACATATGATAAAGTCATTTAAAAGGTTAAAGTATCCTGATAAAATGTCATTTCATTAATTAAGGTATACTGTGACGTTTTTTCATCACAACGTATTCACGTTATAATTAGCCTTGTTGTGGCGGAATCACTCCCTATTATTATTATTATTATTATTTAAAAACGTGAATTATATTTGCAAATGTTTCAAATTGAAATATTTAATTTACAAGATCATATCTTTACCCTCGTTCTGATAGTCAGGATAGACAGTCTCACCTAATTCAATTGCAAAGGAGAAAACCGGTTTAAGTTGATTTTAACTATGATTTTTTCAATGAGACATGAAAACGTGAGACAGTGCAGGTTTTGTCACAACCTTTTTTGTAGACCAAGTGAGATTTACAAAAAGTTAATGAGAAACATTTTGCTATTTTCCGTTAGGTTTCTTATATTTCCATTTAGTTTTGTTTCATAAAAGATTGCTATTTTATCTCTAATTATTTTTCACACGTCCTCAATATCCCTTCCTGTTTACTTAACATACGGAAGAGCGAATAATTATGAACAGTAATGTTGATCGATGTATTGGCTAATCTATTATTATGAAGATATTGGGGGAATTAAGGATTTATTCACGTTATCTTCACATTTTTCAAGTTTTTTATAAACTTCTGAGAAGTGGATGATAAAATTGACGTGAAAAAATATACCATTTTCAATTTTTATTATTGTTCAATATCTCATGGAGTTCTATCACCTCGGAAGAATTTTCCAGTGAAATTTTCCGGATTGTTCCAGTGAATTTTTGCAAGAAATCCCAAAACTTGACTTGAAAATTTCAGAAGATAGATGCGCGACTATGAAAATTTGGAATCTCTGAAGAAATAGACCACAAAATAAATAGACCAATGTTAATTTTCCTATGGTCTATTAAGTTGGGTGGGTTTTAACACGTTTTGAATGCGTGGGCTATTTTTTTCTGGTGTATTTCTTCTACCTACCCAAAATCTGTGAGTCATTGAATAATGTTAAAATTATGTATTTTATATATTTTTCCACGTCAATCTGATCCAGGGTTCCCAAAAAGCAATAAAAAATCAGGAGATATCGACAATAACTCCTCCTCTGGAGAAAATTGACGAAAGCCACTGAAATTATTTCAACGGCAATAAAAATTCACGTTTAACCCATTGAAAAAATGGTACGACTCTAAAGAAGGGTCATTAGATTATATGTTTCCAGCAATTGCGTCCAATTGCTGCATGAGGATAATTCACGTAAAGTTATGGTCATGGACAATTTCACTAGTGACCTTTTCTAATCCTCGACGTATCTCGCTCATCCTTATGTGACAGTCGCAAGTAAAATTATATCCAACAATATTCTAAGTTATCATTGACGGTGATATTTCATCGTTGGGAACAGCATTAATGTAATTGAAATATTATCGAATAAAATCAGAGAGGATCGGCCATTAATGTTTATCCGCATTGAAGAACTTCCCACAATTTGTTAACTAAACTTTAAACATTTAAAACTATCCTGGGTGTTGAAATGTTGAATATTCCCACTTCATATCAACTATATTGCGCTCATTAAATTTACCTGTCAAATTGATAAGTTTCTGAAAGATTGTAATATTAAAATTCAACGTCCTATATATTATAGTCCGTAAGATAATAACCAGTGCGCATTTCTAGAGCAATAAAAAATAATAAAAAAATTAAAATGACTTAGCCTGAAGAGAAATTATTAATGTACAAAAGATAACACCTGAGTTTTAATGGATTGTTTGTTGAAATCGTAAATTTAGCTCGTCGACAGACCAGAAGATTAATCATTAATAACAATAATAATAATGATGATTCTCCTAAACATTAATTAGTTATATGAAGACCGAACTTCGAGAATTAAAAGACTAATGGATGACAGTTAGTTGTAAAGTCAAAGATCCCACGGATTACTATGAAAAAATGATAAAAGAAATAATTGGGATATTTCAGTTTTCGGATTCTACGAGACTGTTGTAAAAATGGAAAATGGGCGGCGTGGAAATATTCGCAGCAGATTAATACCAAACAATGAAGACCGGCCTCTGCAGGAAAGTCTAGAGAATTACGAGGACTCCTCCATTGTAAAAAATCAAGTGAACGATCTCGCTGAGGCTAACAAAAAAATCCAACAATTGGACGAAAAATTGCGTAACATAGAGGCTAAAGTCAATAACAGAATACCGAAAAACTTTCCAACGGTGAAATTTCTCAATTACAAAAATCGTAAGAGGATATTGGTTACTGGTGGTGCTGGATTTGTTGGTTCCCATTTGGTGGACCGTCTGATGCTTGAAGGACACGAGGTCATAGTAGCGGATAATTTCTTCACCGGAAGAAAACGAAATGTCGAGCATTGGGATGGACATGAGAATTTCGAGTTGGTTCATCATGACATTGTGAGACCACTTTATCTTGAGGTGGATGAAATTTATCATCTGGCAAGTCCTGCTAGTCCACCGCACTACATGCTCAATCCGGTTAAGACATTGAAGACTAATACCATTGGAACTATTAACATGCTAGGTATTTATGCTTTGATTTTTACAGCAGAAAAGACAACCCGAAAGAATATCTATAATAATTTATTTTATTTTTTTATATTTCAATCCTGTCCTGCAGTAAATAATAAATAATAAATTGTTAGGTCTTGCAAAACGAGTTGGCGCAAGAGTTTTGATCGCAAGTACTTCCGAGGTGTATGGAGATCCAATGGAGCATCCACAATCAGAAACTTATTGGGGTCATGTGAATCCTATCGGTACGTAAATGAAATAGCGGTTAAAATCACTCGAATGAGGACAATATAACGCTGAAAATTCAGGATTGGATAAAAATGTGGAATGATAAATTAACAGGGCCCCGGGCATGTTACGACGAAGGTAAACGTGTTGCTGAGACCCTAAGTTATTCTTATATGCGACAAGAAGGCGTGGACGTGCGAGTCGCAAGGATTTTTAACACATTTGGACCGAGAATGCATATGAATGATGGAAGAGTGGTATCCAATTTTATTTTGCAAGCACTTCAGAACGATTCTATCACTATTTACGGTAATGGGAAGCAGACAAGGTCATTTCAGTATGTCTCCGATTTAGTAGACGGCTTGGTTGCATTGATGTCCTCGAATTATACTCAACCGATTAATCTCGGCAATCCAGTCGAGCATACAATCGAAGGTACTATAATATTATCTTGTGGAAGTTAATCCTAATAGAGGAGAGTCAGTGATATTTCACTTTTCTCAGCATTCACATTATTATTCATAAAATAAGATGTTTTTTTTACTCGTCTTGCTTGTATGTCTTTTTCCTTTCCTTACAAATTCAGTTTGAACTCCATTATTAATTCCTTCTCAATATTTCTGAATATTCGTGGCGAAGACCCTAAGGATATATTTTTCACTCGATTCTCTTTTATTGCAGCCGTAAATCTATTAATGAATAAATGACATTTCAGAATTTGCAATCATCATAAAAAATTTAGTGGGAGGAACTAGCAAAATAATCGAATTGGCAGCAGTGGAAGATGATCCTCAGAGAAGGCGACCCAACATAAGTCGAGCGAAGAGATTTCTCAATTGGGAGCCAAAGGTGTCTCTAACTGAGGGTCTCACAAAAACTATATCGTACTTCGAAAAAGAATTGAAAAAAACAAAACATTCGCAGGGAGATGTTGTGAGAATTCCATACGTTAATGATCATGACATTGTAGAACAATTATAAATTGTTGGAAAAAACGACATGGATGTCAAGAGATGTGGGAAAATAGTGCCAAAAGACTAACAAAGTAATTGCATCGTTTTGATGAGTGAGTTTCATGACTGAATATGTTTACCTGCGTCCATCCTATTTTTCATTGTAATTCATTGTAAATAATATGCTGGAGAGAATAGATAGTATGTTATATGGTAAATATGAAAATCGTTTTGGATTTATCTAAAGAGATAATTAGCGGTAATGGGTGAAGCGCGTGGGCTGTATGACAGGGCGCGTGGTCGTCTCTCTCAGTGAGTGTAATCGTGTCATCCGGGACGGTTTTACCACCACAATTTCTCATTTATCCTAGAAATCGTTGACTTTACTTGTTCTCAATGTACAACAAATGAATTTATGGTTTTTTAATTGAAACATTTAAGGATTTGAATAATTGCAACTGTTCCCCCTTGGAAGAGCAATTTTTACTGAATATTCATGTGAGAAACTAGTGTTTGCATAGAAAAAAAAATCGAAAGAACTTCTCTCCGCGACTTTTTAAAAAAAAAAAAATTGTGCATTTTTTGGAGAACTAGTGATTTAGAGATTAAAAACTTAGTTGTTTTTTCATCTGGGGAAAGCAAAATAAAACTACCTCGTTTCATAAAATTGAACGTAGAACCCAAATTCAATTTCGATAATCAAAGAGTTAAAAATCCAGAATAAGATCGTAAAAAATCAGTATTTTAGATTTTACAACAACTTTTATTAATTTTATAAAGCTTTATTAAATCTTCCTTTTTGAAATCTTCCATTTTTGTCATTACATTTCTTTTTTTGCAATTACTTCATTATTTATCACTCACAATTATTCCTCATTTTCTCATCATTCGCATAAAAAACCCACGGGTTTGCACAATACGTAAGTTCCCTAAGGTCGAGTGAAATATCCACAGCTACTTGACACAGTTGCATGATCTCCTCGCTTCAATTCGCCTCAACTTATTAAAATTTCGTGAGTGTACGTAAATCGTAATATCGTCCGTTCAATCTACTTAATCGTCAAAAGTTTCTTTAAAAATTTCACTCATTTCATTCTGTAGAACGATAAGACCATTTATTCTTTGCATATTCATTGTCCCCGGGGTGAAATTTTCCCTCGGACAAAACTCCCATCGATTCCTTATCTCATGCTATAAAAGAATACCCTTCCTTCCGTTCTCTATACATTCTAATGAAACTTTGACACGAAATTTTTCCAATCGCAAAAAAAGTATTTCGTTTTTTTTCTTCCCAATAGAAAATTTGTATTTGTTCAAATTTGATTTTCCACGTTTTGTAAAACTCAAATACCTTAAATAATTGAAATGCTATTAGCATGTATCCATGTACGTATGTATGTATGTACTTTCCAAAAGTCTTGTGTACATAGGCTCAAGAGTCTAGGGAATTCACCAATTTTTCATCGACTATACTTCAATGAGTTCTGTTCATCAATATTAATTGAAATAAAATTTATCACACACTTTATGAACTATTAATGTTTTAAAAATCGATTTTTCAACGATTTCTCAACAATTTACTGAAATGTGTTTAATTATAGTTTGAAAACTTGGGAGGGATACACGTCATTCATTCATGCGATTACAACAATTTCTTTTGAAGTATTTTTTTTAGTCAGATCGTAATGAGTTCATTCTGATGAACTCTTGATTAAGCGGAGAGATAATTAAAACAGAACTACTATCCATTAACTGACATCACAGCGTCTGCCGATTTTTCCATAAAACGAAAAATCGAATAGAAAAATCTATTTCACTATTATCATTCTAATTGATGAATCTCATACATTCATTCATTCTCAATATAATCCCAGTTGAATTCAGTTTACATCTTGATTATATCCCGATTACCATCGTACAAAAAAAACCGTTCGCGAATTTTTACGAATTACGATTTAGCGGACCTGAAAAATAATTTGAAAAAATAAGATAGGAGCAAAGAATAGAAATTAATTGAAATTCCAAAATATGCAATAATGACAGAATATTGAACCGAACATCCACTGGACATAACATTGTTAATTTATTATCAATTAATCAACTCGTTTGAATTTTCAATGAAAAGATGTTTACGTTAAAAAAATTTGAAGTTATGTCGGAGGATAATTGCAGGTGTTGAAGTGAAAAAAGAGTATGTGTAATAAGTGTGTACAATTTGTGTAAAATGGGCAGATGTTTGGAGGTGAGGCTTGAAAAAGGTGAAAGAGTGAGAGAGTAAGGAGAGGGTGAGTGAGGGAGTAAGAGAGAGGAGGAAAGGCGCAAGCGGCGCATAGCAGTTCTCTGGAAGTTGAGAGTTGAATTTTCTGTTCTCGCTCTATAACTCTACACGACTCGGTCTTGACTCTTCAGTTTAGTAGCGACCGCCGACGAGGTCGCTTTCCACCGGTCCATCAGCCTTTTCTCCCAGTTTTCAGTGACTAGCCTCCTCCAGGTAGAATATACATATAGTGCGGCACGCTCATTCCACGTGTACTCTCAAATCAAATGCAATTGTCAGAGGGTCCTATTTTAAACTCCATCTCATGCGGATAAACTTCTTCAAAACATTATTTCAATTAACCAATGAGAATCATTCATTTGTTCAGTCACAGGTATGAATGATTTTCATATTTATATTTTAAAAGTGCAAGTGTTGTTCAATTACTCATGTTACTATCTTTAAGGACATCGTTAATTTATTCATTTTTATACAACAAAATTGAAAAATTTATCAGGTGAGTTGAATTGTTATTTTATGTATTTAGTTTAAAATTGAAACAAATGCTTTGTGCAGAAACAATGCGGATTATATTGAAATGTGTATAAAAGGTGAATAATCGATATCGCTCGGACAATCGGCTCGTCTGTGTCGTTTTATTCTGTAGATAGTCATTGTAGTTTTATTTTTTATTGTTTTTGGTTTGTTTTTCTTTTTTGTTTTTAGTTTTTCATTGGGGATCGGTGGTTGGGGGATGGAGCGCAAGTGGAAAGCCGATTGAATAACCGATGAAACACCCGCATAGTTTAGTACATGGTTCGTTAAAAAATGGACCTCATGGACTGAATTGCGTTTTATATAAAAGCGGGTACGGTGCCAGGCTACCGTGGCATTTCCAGGACACACATCGTTTCGTTTCATCGATTTTTCATGTGCGCTCTCTGGTCCCCCCACAACGATAAGCCGCGCCAACATAATCTCAGCGCATAAATCAGATTTCATTATCTTCGTTCTACCATCATTCGATCGGCACTACTGAAATTTCAACGCCAAACTATTAAGTCCTACTTGAGTAGTTATTGAAAGTGACCGACACTTTTCATATTGCATTATCGAGTATCAAATATGTATTCCTGAAGGTCCCAACCGATCATGTGGCGCACTATGGATTTATTGCCGATATCTTCTCATTTTTCAAGTTTTTTTGCTAATTTCTGAGAAACACTCGGTGAAATTGACGTGAAACATTATACTGATTTTAGGTTTCGTCGTTCTTTCATGTCTCACGAAGATTCATTAACATGGAAGTATTCTACGCTCTCAGCAAAATTCTCTTTGCCAAAAATTTAGTTTCATTAAATTTTTAGTTAAATTTAATAATGAAATGCATTTTTAATGTCAATCTGACGTGAGAGGATGTGAGGGTTTCCAAAAATTTATAAAAAATATGAGAATGAGAAGATTGCTGGTATCTTCTCATTTCTCAAGTTCTTTACAAGTTTCTGCAAAACAATTGATCAAATTGACGTCCAAAAATATACAGTTTCAGGTTTTATTATTATTCAATGGCGCACAAAAATTCATTATTCTGGAAGAATTCTCCTAGGTTCTCATTAAACTTTTGCAAAAATCCCCAAAACATTCCCAGAAATTTATAAAAATACACGCGCGACTGTGAAAATTTGCGAGTGATTAAATAACGATAAAACCAAAAAACCGGTATATTTTGACGCGTCGATGTGATCCAGAGTTTCCCAAAAAATTTTCCAAAAAACATGAAAAATGGGAAGATATCTGCAATAACTCCTTAATGAAACCGTGGGAACAATATGTTATTATATTAGCGTATGTGCCCGCTAAAATTCAATTGCATACGTATTGATTACTAGTTATAAATCGTGGGAAGTGCATCGATCGTTGATCCTATCGATTGAAGTTTCTGTTGAATCATTTGTTTCAATCAATAAAGTATGTTGGAGGAGGATAAAGCACATGGAATGCAGGTTGCAATGGCTCGTCTCGTGAGAGACGTTTTGCGCCTCTCACCCGGCTGTCTTTCTCCCGTTTTTTCTCTCTTTTATTTTCTTTTCATTCTCCACGTTAGTTCATCCTGGCGAGTCGACCGGTTCGTCCATCTCTTTTTATCGTTTCTCCGTTGTAAGACGTCTCTTTACCTGTTTCATTCTTATTTCGCCTTTTTTTTTTCCACTTCAATGTTGAAGGATTTTTTATTTATTTTCCCAACGACATGTACCCCTATACATGTGTACAATGTGCAAACTCTTTACACATTCAATTCATTTGGCTTATTTGGATTCGTTTGACGAGAATGTGGATGCTATTTTTTTATTTTCCATTCGTACTCTCAATTATTGCAAATCACTTAATTTCCGTGATATTCTTCATGTCACTGCTATCTTTGAAAATACACATCCGAAAAAAGGAGTGCACGTTTTGATTAAAAAAAAAAATATTTTAGTTTCCAATTTTTTAATTTAAAAGTTCAATTTTAATATAATGGTTCATGTATATTTTTATCATTTATCTATTTTTTCCTTAGATATTTCATTTCTTTGAAAAAGGTATTATTATATTATATGATATATTGGCAAAATAAAACGGCGACACAAAATATTACGTGAGTTTTTTAATTAAAGAAAAGGAGAAAAATGAAGGATTTTTTTAGCCCTGAATTTGAGGGAACATGTGGCAAGTTTGACTTCGATTGGGCAGTTGAGATATCTCTTCCTCTGAATATTTTCTCTGTCTTTAGAGGATTGGTGGTGACATGATGATGCGAACCGGTGAAATTTAGAGCAGACGACTGTCCAAAGGCGAGTGCAAGGATAACCCGAGATGTGGCTCGTCGAAGCTATCTGGATTATTTCACTCTTCGTCATCACATATGGTAAACGCGACGATTTATCAAACGATGATGTTTTTCTCGGTCAACGTCATCGTGGGTATAAAGGAAATTACAATAATCAGCAGCAAGCTAATTCACCGTATTTGCCGGTCTATCAATCGACAGCACGAGAACGCAAGCCCAATATCGTCTTGATTCTCACTGATGATCAGGATGTTGAACTTGGTACAGCTATTATTCATAAAAAATCTATCTCCAAAAATTCTCATCAAATTCTACTATCTCCTTCAATCCTCACATCATACATTATTTTTTATTTGTCTGTATGACATTTTCTATCTGTTGAATCATCTAACGAATTTGAGGGTGTTCTACACCCATAATTTGGTTCTATAGCCAAAATTAACGTTTTTTCAAATTTCTTTTTGGCAAACTTACCATGATTGACGTAAAAAAATATTGCTTTTTCGTTTTGTTATTGTTTAATTACCCACGAAGTTTCAAGGTGGTTCGAACATTTTTCTGCGTTTTTTCTAGACTTTTGAGAAGAATCACGAAACTGTGGAGGAAATGCATGAAAATTATGGTACCATCACTGAACTTCGTGAGCCGTTAAATAATGACAACACGCAAAAACGTTATATTTTTGTACATCAATTCCATCGATAATTTACTAAAAATTAAAAAACGTGAATTTTGGATAGATATGGGTGTGGAACATCCTTAAAGCCCGCATCTACAATCTATCGAACGTGATCTTTCGTTTAAATTCCATCTTGTTATCCTAAAATATATTAAAATCGGGAATCATATTTGTGTTGCGAGAGCCACTCCAATGGTTATGAGAAGATAATAAAAGGAAAAAGGAATAATAGTGACAGGGGGGTAAAGAGCGATATTGATTTAAAGGAATCTGTCAATTTTACAGAGAAATAATTAAAAACACATAGTTTACCAGGAACCATGATGGCGGACAGGAATTCATTTAACAGCCAATAACAATCTAGAATCGAAATGGTCCGCCGAATGTTACCGATGGTAAACCGCGTATTTTTTTATTGTTTCTGTAAACTTGGCAGATCCCTTTAAATCAATATGTCTCTTTACCCCTCTGCAACAATTTTTCCTCTTTGTCTTTATTATTTTTTTATAGACATTTGAGTAGTTCCCGCAATACAATTGATATTCCAGGTTTGTATATATTTATTTATCAGGTAATTACATTAAATTTATACTAAAGATCAGGTTCGAAAGATTATTCATGTCGACGTCAAATGGAAAATAGGGGGAAAAGTATATTTTTTTTATTTATATAATTATTTTATTTTATATTATATTACGCGAATGAGATTATGGTTGAAAGAGCAATCAAGCATTTTTTTTCGTTTGATTTAATGATTCTAAATCGGTCTTGCCAAAATTCACGTTTCTTTCAGTTGTCTCCCAGGGTTATGATGGGATTGGCGTGAAAATATGTGACGCTTTTGCGTTTTGTCATTATTTAATGAGTCATGAAGTCTCACGGTGGGGCGAAAAATTTTCTGCGTTCTTTTGGAACTTTCAAGAAGAATTTTTAAATTAGAAAGAAAACGCAGGAAAATAGTCGCAACAGTAAGAAATTTTGCGAGCTATTCAATCATTACAAAACGCGAAAACATTATATTTTTTCATGTTAATCCCAGCGATAATTTGAGGAAAAATTAAAAAACGTGGATTTTGGGTAAAAGACTGGTCCACATCTGGAGGACAAAAAATATACAAAAAATATACAAAAAATATATACAAAAAATATATACAAAAAATATATACAAAAATATAAAGTTTTTGTGTTTTATAATTATTAAATTATTTTATGACTCAAAAAGTTTCTTGCGCGTGCAATAATTTTCCTGTGAGTTTCCTAAAGTATGAAATGACTTCTTGAAGAGTTCGGGAATGCCACAGGGAAATTATTGCACTATCAGGACATTTTAGGAGTTATGATACAATAATAATAAAATGGAAAACATCGTTTCGCGTCAATCCGATTAACAATTTGTCAGAAAATTCAAAAAATGGATGGTTTTGGCTGAAAGGGGGCAGAACATCTTTAAAGATCAAACTACTATCTTTAGTCTCACCATAAAAAGCTACTTTTTCATTCCACACTAAAAAGCGAATCATCTCAACAACTAATAATTATCTGCACAAGTAAACAAAATTGGCCGTAGAAAATTGCTACTGTACGGATAATCACTTGACATTCTCTCTAGAAACCACTCAAGTAACAAAAGTCGAAAAATTAGTTTAAAACATTCCAATAGGGCGCGACTGAATTTTCATATCCTTTCGACGAAATCGTCTCATCTTTCAGGTTCTTTACAAATTTCTGAAGAATGGTTGATAAAATTGACGTGCAAAAATGTACCTTTTTTTATTATTATTCACTGGCTCACGAAGTCTTCTAAAACTTCGTACCGTTACGTGAATCTTTATCAGTTGCCAATTTTCTTAACTCTCCAATTCTCAGAATTTTTCTTAGAAAGACCGCAAAATTCTATTCGAACGGGACTAGAATTTTTCATACTCGGTTGATTTTCATTTTCCACCACCGGCACTCGAATTTTTCTTGGAAATTTTTCTCGTGTTTAACCGTAGAATAATTTTTCTAGGTTCTCACGAAACGTTTGCAAAAATTTATGAGTCATTGAATAATGATAAAACCTTAAAGCGATATTTTCCAGATCAATTCACTGAACGATTCCCCAAAAATTTCCAAAATAAAACATGAAAAATGAGAATATATCAGTAATAACTCCTGACCTGTCAAAATTACCTAAAATATGTGCAATTCAAAACAGGCTTTATTTAATATTTAATAATAATAGGTTGATTTTTTAAATATATTTTGTTGAGGATGAATTTATTCCACCAGGTTCGCTCAACTTCATGCCGAATACCCTGCGTCGAATACGAGACGAAGGTGCTGAACTCCGTCACGCCTACGTAACAACACCAATGTGCTGTCCCAGCAGAAGTTCACTCCTCACAGGTCGTTACGTACATAATCACGAGGTATTCACTAACAATGACAACTGTAGTAGCCCCCAATGGCAGCGTGATCACGAGCCCCATTCGTTCGCAACTTACCTCAGTAATGCTGGATATCGTACAGGTTGATAAAAAAAAAAACTTTTATCTATCTACCCTCTGCTTTCCTTTTCCTCTCTCTCCATCATCATCTCTTTTATGACATTTTTTTTCTCCTCACTGCTTGTCAAGCCTCTTGAACTCGTACAAGAGGCACTGTTGTATCGAGGCGTCAAAAGTCGTGCTTTTTTTCAAGTAGTTAAGCGAGACAAATTGAGGAATAATGAGAGCACGTTTAAGTTTGCAAATTGGCCAGAGGGAGATGAGCGAGAAAAAGCTGAGAGGAACGTGATAAAAATTCATTGGGGGTAGGCACATTTCAGATGCAGCTCGTTATATGAGAAATGTCTCGTTACTTCATTTTTATTAGAAAGAAGAAACTTTCGGTGCGAAGTCATATTTTCTTTCTTATGGTACACCAACAGCAAAGTTATACTTTTCTCGGAAAGCTCGTTAAACTATCCAATACTTATAAATGCATTTTATGTATTCCTTAAATTTCTTTTCTCAACACAATAAAGCTTTATATTTCATATTTCATGAGAATTAGTGGATGAAAATATTCTTATCATTCCTCAATTGCTTCACATGGTCATCGCATTGTACATCTGTCTGTTTTCTGATATACTTGTTTGTAATGAAATGTTTCAATGTTTATTAGGATACTTCGGAAAATATCTCAACAAGTATAATGGCTCATACATACCACCTGGATGGCGTGAATGGGGTGGCTTAATAATGAACTCGAGATACTACAACTACAGTGTCAATATGAACGGAAAAAAGATAAAGCACGGTTTCGAATACAGCAAGGACTATTACCCGGATCTGATAGCCAATGACAGCGTAGCATTTTTACGCCAGAGTAAGCACAACTTTGCCCGTAAACCGGTGATGCTGGTTGCGAGTTTCCCAGCACCTCATGGTCCGGAAGACTCTGCACCCCAGTTCTCCAATCTTTTCTTCAACGTCACAACGCATCAGTGAGTCTATTTTGATTCTCCCTTCATCCCTCTCTCTCTCCCTCTCATTCCCTCTTTCTCCTTTATTCTACTTCATTTTTAAAAAAATCTTTTTGTTAGTTTTTCACACATAACAGTCAACTCATCTTTGCATGAAAAATGGGAAAAGGAGGGAAGAGTCCGTTGTTGTTCTTTCGTAATAAGAAAAAGAGAAACGACCTGACAGTAGGTAGACAAAAAGGGAACTTGTCTGACACGTTTTGAACAGTGGTATGATGGAGAGCACTAAAACTCTCACGTCAAAAGCTGGATAAAAAAAAAACGAGATATTCTTCACACGACCGCAGTCTAGACCCAGGGCTTTTGTCTGAGTTTCTTTGTTCTTTTTATCAGCATCTCTCTACCCTCATGATATTTCAATTGAGATCAGTCAATCAATGATGGAATGCTTTTTTTTTTGTTATGTAGCACTCCGGCTTATGATTATGCGCCCAATCCGGACAAACAGTGGATTCTTCAAGTTACCCAGAAAATGCAACCTATTCATAAACAATTTACTGATTTATTGATGACTAAGAGGCTGCAGACGTTACAGAGTGTTGATAGTGCTGTGGAACGGGTAGGTTTATTACTTTTCTTTCCATTTCATTTCTCAAAATTTATTGGATGGTGTTGGATTCCTCGAAATTATTCCGGAAACTCAGAATCCGGTATTTACGTCATATCGTGTATCTTCGGGCAGATGACCGTATTAATGTTATTGGGAATTTGTTTATTCTGAATTGTCTACTTTCTATCAGTATTTCAAAGACAATTTTTTTTGTAATTTTTATGTAGTGGATAGTGGATTGCGTAATTCTATATAAATGTTGATCCGGAAGTTGAAGATATTTAATTATTTATTGTATGACATATACCGCTTGTTCGGCTTTCTACGATAACATAAACTTTGTTAGTGTAAAAAAAAATCAATTATAACGCTTCGCGGCACAGAAATGATTCACAGAACATAATATTCGTAACCAAAAAATAATAGAAGATATTCTCCCTCTTTTTGACTAAAATTACCGGTTTTTTTAGTTTACTAACAAATTGTTGATCGGATTGGCCCGCAAAAAAACCGATTTTACATTGTCTCATTATTTCATGACTCACTCATGACGTTTCAAGAGCGTCCAACAATTCTACTGTTGTTCTTCTAAATTTTTATGAATTTTTGAAAAGTTTAGAAAAACCGCAGGATAATTATTTCACGACGACAATATTTTGGAAATTTATTTATATTATATTTATTAAACAATGATGTAATACGCAAGCAGTCTATTTTTTCGCGTAACTCTGATCAACAAATTGTTAAAAATAAATAAAAATACTCAAAAAACCGATAATTTTAGTTAAAAGAGGTCTGAACATTCTTAAATTATAATTCTCTCTTCAACATTAAAAAAGTGTCAACCATTTCGTTACCGAAGAAAATAATAAATTAATGATTTTCAATTATTTTTAGATTTATCAGGAACTGAAGGATCTCGGAGAATTAGACAATACCTACATAATTTACACATCAGACCATGGATACCATCTTGGGCAATTTGGTTTGATTAAAGGGAAAAGTTTTCCATTCGAATTTGACGTGCGAGTGCCATGCCTTATTCGGGGACCCGGGATCGCTCCCGGTTCAGTGTAAGTTTTAATGGAATTGTTAATAAAAAAAAACATTAGTTTCAATGCACGGACGTCACTTGCTCGTCGGAGGCTGGCAGTTAAATTTAGCTAAATTAATTTGCCAGCTGCCTGACGAGTGAGAGGAGAGAGAGAAAGAGAGTGGAAAGGGAGTCTGAGAGGTACGGGCGTGCCTACGACGTCCCAAAATCAACTCTGTGCCTCCCTCACATCTCGTCTCATCTCCACCTTCATGTTACCCCCCTCTATAGAATTTGCAGGCTTTACCCTCATCTACTTCATCCCACGGGATAACTGCTCTCCCCGAGCTCAACTTTCCTAATTGGTAAAATCCGACGTGTGTTCCCCAAACGCAACATCTATTTTTAACGCTCTCATTTCACGTTCATTGACGTGAACATTCACTTTATTTTCATTGAACTAACGTTCTCTGTTAAACATTAATTTATTTAATTTTTTGATTTTAGGATTGATGACATTGTACTGAATATTGATCTGGCGCCAACCTTTCTTGATATAGCTGGAGTTGAGACACCTTTGCAGATGGATGGGCGATCCTTCAAGAAATTGTTTCTCAAGTATGTCTTTATAAAATAACAATTGTTAATAGGTTCGCTATGGAATTCAATTCCATTAGAATTTTTCATAAAAACCACTCCATTTCCAAATTGTCAAACAGTACGAAGATTTAAAATCTATTTACAACCAAAAAGGCCCAATTTTTATTTAATTACCGGTGGTTAATTGAATATGTCATCCTTTTTTTTAAACCTATGAATTTTCCACAGAATTATTTGATAAACTGAAATCATACTGATTTTGTTAGTGCAAATGTCATTTGTTGCCCATTTTTTTTTAATTACATACCAAAAATTTTGACAATCAATCTGATAATAATTACATGATTTTTGGCAATATATTGTATATGTATTGATCATTTTCGATCATTATTCTGTGCTTCAAGAACGACATTCGACAGACTTGATTGTGGCTGTACAAATGATTAAAAAAAAAAGAGAGAAACAAAAAAAAATAACGAAATTCCTACAATCTATTTTTTTTGTATGAAAAATATAGTTACATAATAATTTTCGCAGTAAACACGGAAGAAGAACAAAGTTCAAATGGCCGGACACATTCCTTATCGAGTCATCAGGTCGTCGAGAGACGCCGGAATCAATAGCAGAAGCTAAATTACGTGAGGCGAAACGACAAAATACAACATTAACGAAGAATCAAGTGAATACAAATACTGGAGAGACTGCACGCACTGAATCTGCATTCGTAAGCGATAGGAATCTGGAGAATGACACGGGCAGTGATCAGGATATATCGGACAATGACGAGGAGTTTGAGGATTCACTGGTGAATGATAATGAAGATCGTCTGGACAATGGTGTTAATCCATTTTCTGAATCTGGATTGAGTACAAAGCACGAGCGTTTGGCCTTCGAGTGCTCGAGGCCAGAGTTACAGGCTAACTGTATACCAGGACAAGTCTGGCGATGTGAAAGAGAGGGGAACCGTTGGCGTCGTCACAAGTGCAGATATACACCACTGCCAACAATACCCATCCACAAATCAACAAAAAAGTGTGCCTGTTTTACACCAAACGGTGTCGTCTATACGCGACTAGAATCTAATGATTACGATGGACAAAAAATGCCATACACTAGAGACAATCATGCTGCTATTTACGAGGATAACGACAGCTTCTTCAAACGAGGAAAACGAAGTATCGATAATGAAGATGATGAGTTTTTAGAAGATACTAGAGATAGGCGAGCAATTGATGAGGAGGATGATGAGCAATTCAAGCAGGAATTGGAAATTCTCTCTGATGATTTTCAGCACGAATGGACACGCCACATGATACAACATCAAAGTCCACGGAATTCCTCAATTTGGAATGATAATTACAGCAGCAATGATGATTTAGACGCACTTGGGTACAATGCATACGATTTCGATCTGACTTTGAGGAAGGCTGTAAAAGGAACATTGAACATCGATGATTTGATGAGGCGACATAAAAGGGTGCGTAGAAATGTTATGAAAAAAGATACCATTGAGCATGTAACGAAAATAATGGAGAGCATTGAGGAAGAACTTGATGGCCTTAAAGAGAGTCAAGCACGTCAATCAAACACTTCAAAAATGCTGCCAAAATGTTTGATATCAGCTAGTGGTGGTGTCAATTGTACTCAATCAATCTATCAAGATCCAAACGAGTGGAGAATTTCACGCCGAGAAATCGAGCAACAGATCAAAGAAATGCGAATACAGTTGGAGAGTTTAAAGGAGATCAGACGACATCTCATGATGAAACGCCCACTCGTAATAGATACTAATGAAAATGATGAAGCTAATGATACATTGCACAAGCACCATTACCATAATCATCATGTGCATCATCATGGGAGAAATCATACGAATCGTCATCACAAGAAACACGAGATGAGTCAGACTACGGTGACTCCTTCATCTCTTCAATTTAATAGCGAAAGTGATATTTATGAGATTAAAACCACTACTCAAGTTCCTGAGGCTTCGTCGAGTAAAAAAACAACCCATGGAACTCCAAACGTTACTACCGTAGCCTCGGTACCTCTCAAAACTAAAAACTCATCGCGAAGACAAAAAATAAATAAAGAAACGGAGACTCGCGTGGAGGAGGAAGAGAGACCTCGAAGGAAGAAGAATCATAATAGAGGGAGAAACAACACCATTTTGACCAACAATATTCATGAAAACAAAGAACCACCAGTACAATCAACAACATCAAGTGGTTCAAGCGATGTGGTGAGCACTCGAGTGGCTTCTCAAGCTACAATTGTATCTACCACTCCAATCATATCGTCAACAGAGATCACGACGAAAAAACCTTTAAGGAGCCAGAATAACCGGACGAATGGCCTTGGAGCTGCTCGAATTGATGTGACTATTCTAGAATCTCCAGATCGAAAGTACAATCATGAAGCTGATTATTCTCCTAACAACTCGCGATTGCCACTTCAGAATGGTTCGATAGATGCTAAGCACAAATGCTATTGTGAGCCCGATGTGCAACCGAAAAGAGACGAGAAAGATGTGGTGAGGGATGAGAAGAGACGATTGAAAGAGGAACGGTTGAGGAAGAAGGAGAGAAAACTGAAGAAAAAAGCTAAACTGGAGAAAGAATGTTTAACTGAAAAGATGAACTGCTTTGAACATGACAATGATCATTGGAGAACTGCACCGATGTGGAACGCTGGTCCGTTTTGCTTTTGCATGAATGCTAATAACAATACGTACTCATGCATACGTACCATCAATGCGACACATAATTTTTTGTACTGCGAATTCACCACAGGACTTGTGACATTTTACAATTTACGGGTTGATCCGTTTGAGCAGTGGAATAGGTATCCATTCTTGACTGATGCCGAAAAGTTCTATCTTCATGATCAGTTGGAGCACTTGAAGAGATGTCGGGGAACAAGAGACTGCACTGTTGGAAGTGCTAGGGAGAATTCCGTCATGCCACAGACCCAGCCACATCAGAGATTCATCACTAAACGGAAGTACAGTAATTCTTTAGGTAAAATATACAGTTCTGTTTGAATGTAGATGTACGAATTATTTATCCGTTTATGATATATGATCGAACATAGCAAGGAGCAGCGGAAGTTATCAATCAAAACGATTATGGCCAGCTCTTGAGAATTTATTGCCGATATCTTCCCATTTTTACCATTTTTTTTTATCAATTTCTGTGGAACCGTTGGTAAAATTGACGTGAAAAATATTGCGTTTTGTCATCATTTAATGATTCACCAAGTTTCAAGGTGGTGCGAACATTCCCCTGCGTTTTTTATAAACTTTCAAAACGAATAACAAGACTGTAGATAAAACGCGTAAAAATTATTGCACCACCACAACACCTCGTGAGCCATTAAATAATTATAAAACGCAAAAACGTTATGTTTTTTTTTTACACAAATTCGATTAATAATTCATCAGAAAAATAGAAAAAAAAGTACATTTTAAGTCAAAACGTGTCGAACATTGTTAAATGATGGATGTCATTCAAATTTCGAAGTAGTTCTACCAGAAACTTTCTTTAATTGTAAAGATTAGACAGAACTTCCAATTCTTCATGATTCATCTTGTGCAATCTAATGACAAGTCACATTAAATAATGAGAAATCATAAAAAAATTTATCAAATAAAGTCGATATGCATTCAATTAATATTTCTCACTCGTTGATATGCCCTATCATGCTTTAGATCGACCGAAGAATTTGCCCGCGCCTATCTCTTAATAAATTAATATAATTATATGCATTGTTTAATTAATTGTTTGATTATGTTATAGAAGACATGTTCGTGCCATCAACTCTGCAAATAATTCGCGAGAGCGAACTTGGAAGTCCGAACAAGAGACGTAAAAAATTGCAAACGTGAGAAAAATAATCTTTTATCATTTTTATTGAAAAATTCATAAAGCTAAAAAAAAATTCAACATGATTTATACAGCTCAGAAAATCGACGTAGTCGAAGTTGGAATCATCACTCGACTCCTATCAACTCTCGCCGACATCGGCATCAGTACTGAGATTCTTTTAACTGTCATAAAAAAAACAATACTGCTCTGATAATGAAGTTACTGGTGTTTTACTATTGAAACTGCACGACAGATTCTAACGTGAATATCAACGATTTAGAGTGATTAGATAATGAATGAGAAAAAAAAAACTACAATCAACTTGTCACGAGAAGAGTAGAACGCACAACGAATTGAATGGTATTGCGGGGAATTTTTTCCAATTGTTTGGAAAATGAGTAATTGCAGTTACAAGTCGAGATAAATACTGCAAAATGCACTTTTTAAGGCTTACGAATTGGCATATGAATTGTCCATCAATGAGAAGGAATGATAATCATATGGCTTTGTAATTATTAATGATCATGAAATATTTCATCGGGGTCCTGACGAAATATTTTTCTGCTCGAAGACGTGAGATATCGATTTAATAAGCAAGTACTTTTGTAAATAATGTACTGAGCTCGGTTACATGCGCTATGAAAATTAATGCAAAACAGAAATGAGTGGAGACTCCCATTGTAGGTGATGAGTGTAATTATAGATATGTGATATATTAATTTATTTCAACGTGAAATTGGAATGTCTTGTTTTAGTAAATTTGTATTTAACTATTATGAATTGTTGTTTTCATTGTTTTTCCAGTCCACTCCCATCGCTTCCTGATTTTAAAATTATAATAAACAAATTGATGAGCAAAAATTTGAAATGGAATACATGAACGCTCATTATTTCATTATTACATTGTTTTATTCACAGTATTCAAATACGCATACCATGTACATGATCGAACATTATTAAGTAAAACATTTAAAATTTGATTTTCTCTTGTTTATTTAATAAATATCCACTCCAATAAACTGAGAATTATATCGCACTTTAATTGAATTTCAATCGTCGGCGCTCTTTAAGGCACGATCTATTCTAAAAATCCCACGATGTTTTTTTAGAATATAATAATAGTTACTTGGTGAACACAACGAAATATATAAGGATATACAAAATCATTACTAAATTATTAATACGTATTTCATTTTATAAATAATACCGTTCATAAGTAGAATTATCTTCATTAACTAGTTTAGATTCTACTAAGAAATTATGGAAATTTGGCCAATGTATCGGACAGTCAGTATTATTTCTTCAATTATTTAAAATGATGAATTTAAAAAACATTATGAAACTAAAATCACCCATTTTTCGAGTTCAAGTTTGGACAGAAAGGCGTGAGGATATGTCAAGTATTTGTGTTTCTCCAACATTAAAAATTACAATTCGAAAGGTAAATTGAACTGTTTCCCAAATGAAATTACCTCCTTTGATTTAGCTTAAGCTGTACACTAACATTATATTAACAGGAATATTAATAATAAAAACGAGCAATCAATAATTACATTTTAGATCCATCAAGTAATAGAAGAGAGACAGAAGACAAAAGTTTTTATTTTATTTTAGGAGAAAAAAATGCGAGAATTTTCAATGAAAAAGGACGTGAATATCATGTAAAAGAATCTGTACACTGTACAATCAACTCAATCAAGTTGGAGACTTGTTCCTTTAATATAAACGTAACACATTATATTGAAATTATACCGATAATCTGTACAGTCGTTTTAAATCTACGTCTTCATTTTCTAATATTAATTTTCAAAATTGGTGTTTCATACATTGCCAATTAGGCACAAAATTTGTTCATTCAAACTTACAACAATGGAGGGATTTTATACGAAAAACTTCAACGTGGTTACTGATTACTATTAATAATTTTTTTTTTCCCATTTTTTTTACATATTTTTTTCATTTTTTCCAACCGATTAAACCAACGAGTTGCTCATAATTGCATCGCTCTCTTATAATAAATACCAAAATCATGTAGCCTCAACATTTGCAGTCGGAATTGAATGAATTAATAATTCCTTTCCATGGAAGATGCATCTAGGCGATCATGATTGACGGTAGCGTAAGAATAATTGTATCTCAATTTTTTCTTGAAACTAGACTTATTCGAGAGGGCCTCGTAGAATTTCAATAATCTATTAACTGTACGTTGTATAAAAAATGAGATTACGACCTTGTACAGCCTTGTAATATACACACATAAACTCGTAGTGTATTCAATTTCGATACTTGATAATAAATAATAAATAAATAAAAAGGGGAATATTCAATTGTGACGAAAACAAAAATGTTACATATCTCCTAACATTCTGTCAGGAAGTTATATGATATCAACTACTGACGAAAACTTTATACGTGATGAATTTTTCAAATTAGAAATTAACAAATTCGTAAGAGGGACATTAGAATTCCGGAAAGACAGGTGAAAGTATAACTGAAAGAATTACCCCAGCTAAATGATGAATGGAAATATAAAATTACAGTAGAATCTCTCATTTTCACAAGAGCCAAAAATTCTTATATTTCTATTGTTTTTCATTCTTGTTTTTTTATTGTAATCACCTTGAAAATGACTTATCAGTTTTTTTTAGTTTTTACAAAAAAGTGGATTGATTGTGAAAATGCAAGTAATTTAGAGATTTATTGACAATATGTACGTTCATTCTATTGCAGTTTAGTTCGGAAACGGAAAGATTCACTCTGGTCTCTGTATATTTATTTAACAATCTATGAAAAAGTGAGTTTTGAATTTAGAATTCTTCAGAATCAAATCTAAGATGAAAAAATAAATAATTTCGTCACTTGTATGACTCTGAATAATTACAAGAAATTAAAAAAACTGTAAAGACACATTCAAGATAGAATTACACTAATCTATTTATTGTTTTACAGTTATACTTCGAACCAAATACAAGGAAAATGATGATTTGGATGAATTTGAAGAGGTGAATATAAAAAATTCAATGATTACCGCGACCACTCATCGAACTAGACGATATATCAGACACGTCATCCTTAATTTTCCTACCAATCGTACCCTCACTAAACTCTCTCATATTATCATATTTGCTCATTTTTCTATTAAACGTATCAGACAAATTGATACCATCACTCATTAATAAGCTACCAACATCCGTTCTCCTTTGATTCTCGACATTGTCATTTGCATTTTTCTCATGTTTATCCGACCCCATTGTATTGCTAAGAGTGCGATCGAATTTATTGAGATCATTCTGAATACTCCTCAGTGTATCTGAGTGATGATTACCATATTGTCGTGATAGCGTATTGTTATCATTCTCATACCGTCTTAATTGTGATAAATCATCGTACTTGCGATCATCATTTCTATGTATAATACTACCGCTACCGTTATCAAAGAGGCCAGCATCAATGCAACGTTGATTGAGGCCATCATTGTCATATGCACGCCTATTTAGTTGACTATCGAAGCCTGCTCGTGCTGCTAAATGGAGGTAGTTGTCGTCACCGATTGGTGCTTGTCTGCAACATAAAATTCACAATCAGTCATTGACGAAACTCCACTATTTACAATATTTACAATATATACAAAGGGTTTTGTTTTCTGCAAATCACACCAATAATTATTAATAAATAATGATAAAATATTTCCAGAATCATCTTTCAGTCTGATCTTTCAGTCTGATCCATGGTTTCTCAGAAATTTACGATAGCTTCTCAATTCTGAGATGGTGATCACGTACAGACTTTCTTTTATGAATTTATGAAAGCGGTCTAATGAAGCAATGTACTCACTTGCTCCCATATTTAGTGTCGCGTGCCAATCGCCGGAAGTACGCCCTGTGTTCATGCTGGAGTGCAAAAGCAGCCTCTCTGAGTGCTGTCAGAGTTTTGAAACATGATGGTACATCGTCAATCGGTGAGCCACCACCAGGTAGAACACACATCTCACTGGCCCCATAAACTGCCTGACACTCACAAGCACTCATCAGCGTTTCCAATCGAGCCATGTTGGCTAAAATGAGTGAGTGAATGCGTTGGAGATCACGATCTGGATCCAGAACCATTCTCAAACCCACTTCTAAACCTGGAGACACTTCACTACAACCTGGGGCTACTTCTGACACAGCTCGGCAACTGAAAATCATCATAGACATTACATCATGTCTTTCGAATATTTCTAGCGAATATTTTTATTTTTATTTGACTCCTAGAACTCAGAGCCCTTAGTTCTCTAATTGCACCATTATATTTTAAAGCAAAGATGCAAACATGACGAGTCAACTACCATTCAAAATTTTTCGTACACATTTCGAAATGAAATGAATATAGCGAAAGTCTTATGAAATCCAATACAATAGATGAAATAGATCTTCTATACAATTACATTTATTTAGGCGGCAACATATTGTCCAAAGAAAATGCTCAAGGAAAAATAATATACCCCATCTTATAAAATCCGTAATGAATTATTAATCGTAAGTCATTCTGCTTTGCTAGTATTCTAATGAACTTACCACAACCAATGTCCATTAATGTAGGCACTTGGATGATACTTTTCCAATCTATTGCTATTTGTATGACAGATTTTGGTCAGTATGTCAATCCACTCTTTTTCTTCCACACAATTTCCAGCTTGTACATACAATGCACGCTGGGGCTGAACTATTTGAAACATATTTTTCATCTTGAAAGAATCTTCGTGTAGCCTCTCCACTGCGAGAATTTCTTCTAGTGATATCCTACATAAGGGTTCTTTTCCTGCAATAACATAAGTGATCAAAAATTTGATATCTCATTATTATTAGTTGCTTGATCGATTTACCTTTTGTTTTTGAGTAAGTCAGATCTTGTGTAGTCAGTCTAAAGTATCTTTGTTTAAAATTCTTGCGTCCAAATCTCTTTCTGCCCTGTGCTCTTTTGATCATAATTCTGAAAAGGAGAGCGGACATATAGTATTGCATTTCTTAATTTACTTTGAGTGAGCCCTCAAAGTCGGGAGGAATGAGAAGTGGCAAATTTCTTTGATACTCCTAAAACCAGAATTCACCTTTTCACTGTTAGAAAAAACGGTTCCTAATGATTAGATTTCAAATGCAATTGTACAAATTTATACAGTCCGGTTGCTTGAAACATTGATTTTTCGATTATAAAAAAGTGAAGATTTGCAAATGAAAGAAACTATTATCGTGAGAATATCGTCGAAAAATTAGTCGTTAAAAGTGGAAGTCTACAATCAACAATTAAATCTTTTTAAATCGAAATAATTCAGGAAAATATAACCCTTGCCCTACGATTAAATGTTAATTAATTCAATGTGACCTTTCGGGCTGGTATGCATTCAGCATTGAGAGATTAATTAATTGTCGGAAGTCTTTTTGCCCGCAATAATAATATATGAGATGTGTGTGGATGACTAAAGCAGATCTCATTTGCAATTATATTTGAATTAACTCTACGTTCTGAACAGGCAATTAATAATAATTCCCCTTGCTCTCAAAACTGAAACGAAACGTCAAAATCCAACACATATTCGATGAATTTTCCCGGTGAAGTTCTTGTTAAACATAATTAATTAAATAATTCTCGTATTGAATAGATGTACGATTTTCCAATGAAACTCATTACATCCAATTCGATTTTAATTTATACCAAACGTCTTGGATTTAGTGCAAGAGATTTTCCATTTCACAATCAAAATCCACCAGGAATTCACTCAAGCGACAAAAGATTTCGTTTCACGTAAATAACGAACTTCTCGTCACAATTGATTATTATTGACTATTATTGATTATTTTATGATTTTCGAAATTTCTATTATTTATACAGTTTTTTCAGTGTATCGCCTCGGAGTGCTAACTTGACAATCATGAACCACCCGTCACGCTTGCATAAAAATATACTATTTCCTTGAATACTACTTCGCATTTGGTGTAGAATCACCCAAAAAAAATCTACAAGCCCAGCGAAAAATTGAATTTTTAAATTACAAACCTCTTTCCACAATCAGCAGTGTGCAAAAAAATAAAATAACTTCTATTAACGTATATTAGCGTAGAGTTCTTAAAACGATGGTGACACATGAATATCGATGAAAAAAAATGTCATTACCCTTCTTTCAGCACCACAGGTTGCTCCTGAAGAATTGTAGGCCTCTGTCTAGCCATTCCAGTATTGCTGCTAGTCGATATCAATTCTAGAAACTGCTTCACCGCTTGTATATGTTTTTCTGTATAAAATTCTCTATAGAAAAAAAATAATTTTCTGTATTTGGCATCAGATCTATAAAGATAATTGAATTTAGAATTTTTACCAACCTGTAAACGCCCTCCATGTATTCTTCTTTGCAAACACTGCCAGCACCACCTCTACAGCTCACTAAGTTTCCTAAGCTTTGAATTGTCTTCGAAATGAGGGTGAGTGTTCTGTTCGTCTGTGAATCCTGTGAAATTATTGAGAATACTATTCATTAGCTTCACTCTAAAAAAAAGAAACCTCCAACGATTAGCAAAGTTGCATAAGCACGTGAGGTAAAGTGAATACATCAGTCTTTTTATTTTATTCATATTGATATTCTCAATACAAAGATCCAAAGCACATTGCTAATTTATTAAAAACGCTAACTCGGGTTAGATAACAGCAATAGCATTGTCAACTTGTTCACCAAAATCCAGAATATTGATATAAATATTTATAAAACAATTTAGATTAATGATGAAAATAATAATCTTCACTTTCTAGGAAGAAATTATGGAATGAACATTTCAAATTCCATAAGTGAAATCAAAGTTGAGTGGCATCAAAGCTATTCTAATCGATACTGAAATAGTACTTACAATGGGTTCTGCTGTAATATCGAACAATCTCGGTCCCAAAATAGCCGGTGCGAAGAACCTCAGAAAAATAAAGCCGCTAATAACCGAGTATCTAACTTCCTTATTCTTGGGAAAATGCATAGCTGCGAGTTCTCTCAAGCACCAGAACATCTCACACATCAATGGTGGACACCGTACCCCGGAAGTCGTAATGGCTGTGAAGACCCTCTCAACGTATTCCTTTAAATTAGTCAGATTTGTCTGAATAGTATTTGCATCCTTCACCCTGGTGGGATCAATTTCACATGGTTTTTTCTCGAGAAATACTTGCTCCATGGCAGGTCTAAGGGTACTATGAAGATAATGGAGACCAGCGAGTCTCATTCCTTCATCCATCATTTTACTAACAAGAGTATTGCCTCGAAAAATTGTTGTGGGATCAGTCAGTTTGGATATTTCGTGGCTGGCCAAGGCTCTCATCACCGACACCAATTGCCCATGATGAACAAGAATCCTGACAAGAGGTTGTGCTGCCTCCATCTTACTTGCAACTATTTCTCCAAGAATATAAACAGCTGATGAAGTTATTGGCTGAATTGTCACACTCTGGAGTAGAAGATTTCGTAGGCGATCGTACATTTCTGATGGGAAAACATGATCTGCTGTGTAGTGAATCTTTAATCTGAGGGATCCAAGACAAGGAGGTGTTCCAGTAGGTGCTGAATTACTTATTTTATGTGGTCGATGCTGAGCTGCACGTGGTTGGAGGAAATACCATGCAGTTGTGGTTCTGGTTGGCTGTTTCTGGAGACCTCTCAGAGTCACTCGAACCTCTCCCAAAAATGCTGGAGGTTCTCCCATGCCAGATGATGCGTGCCATAATCCAATTACTGCCTCTCCAACTTCTCCATCAATTGAGTAATGAGAGACATCTTTGTCTTTGGGCTCTGTCAACTCAGGCTCAAACACGAATGTTTCGTCAAAGTAGGGAGAGACGGTTTTCTTTTTAACTTTTGTTCGCTTAGAAATTTGCTTTCCATTGCTGTAGGTAACGGTGACAGTTGCGTATGGATCGCAGCCCCCGTTTTTGATAGTCAATTCAGAGCACTCGATAACTCTTACTGTGAGTTTTGACTGGTAGTTACCAAGTTGAGGCTGAAGACCAAGTTCGAGGTGGGCTTTACCCTGAACTTCAGAGTCTGCGTCAACTGCACGAAGGGGAAACCAGTGCTCCTTATTGTGGTAGGTTGCCAAGTCTTCGCGTTTTATCGCCACCTTTCCAAGGATTTTGTCTTGCTTTATATGTCTGTCTCTATCATACACGTAGATTCCTAAGTACCGGAATTTTCGAGGTACTTCGAATTGAAATTCCTCACCGAAGAATGGGCTGAAACAATCGTTTACTATTAGTGTCATAAAATTTAACGTTCTCCTGGGTGCTACTGGAAGGAGTTTTTGATAAATTTCTTAGCATCAAAAGGATATTGAGAGTATTTCCTGGATGAACCATTTTGAAACTGAACGAGAGGTATCAAAAGAGTCTCCATAGAAATTGTGTCATTATGTTCAATTTCCCAATTTCAAATTGAATCGAATGGTGTAACGAAATATTTAATTTGGATATTTTATTGATACTTATGAATTTATGAGAAATAAAAATGTTTTCACGATGACATTGCGTAAGACGAAGTTATACATGGAAAAAAGGATGCATTAATATTTTTTGGATTTTTAGAAAGTTTTTAAGAATGTTCGATTGAAAACATTTGTTTTCTTCTGGAAAACTGATTTCAAATGAGCACTTATCTATTCCAATTATAATAAATGGTTTACTTGAGAGTTCTCTCCATTGTAGTAGTTCGAAAAATTTCTTCCTGATCGAGGGAAAGTGCACAGTACACATCTCGAGTACCAGGTGATCCATGGCCACGACTCAACAGATTTTTCACTTCACCTATAAATTCAGAATTAAAACATAAATTAGTAACAGAGCCATTTAAAGAATATGATATCATCTCGACAAATCATCTTAATAGCAATTAATTTCCGAAGAAAACCTGATTAACAGTTAATTGTTAAATATTTCCTCTAGTACTTCCCAAAAAAGATAATTTTCAACGGAATTGATCGAATTTATTCGCATAAATCCTCGTCACATCCCTGCAAGAATTAGTTTTCTCAATTCAATAGCGTGATTGTCCAATTTCATTGATGGATTTTCAAGTGGCACTGACACACTGTCAACTTTTGAATTTGTGATGAATTGAATTGAAGTTACTTCTCCATAACGAATATTAAATTCAATGAGGTGTACTCCATTGAGATTGATCACACATGAGTGTTCTGCCTATGGTTTCACCATTGTTTTATGAATTTTCCCCATTAATCATCATTCGATTGGCCGGAAGTCGTTTAACTCAACATAATCCACGCATACACATCATCTTATCGTTTCTTCTGAACAGAAGAGACTCATATCAATGCTTCCCTATACGTACGTCATCACGAATTAAAGAGTAAAAGTTAAATAACACATTGTTGAAGACGCCTCATTATCCCAACAAAAAGTCTTTCCAGGAAAAAAGACTCTTTGCAGTCACAATTTTTAATGAAAACATTCAAAGAAATTCAGGGCATTGGAAAACAACTTGTTACATCCTATCACTTTGTTCTTCGAAATAATTCGACGATATACTTTTCCGTCCTCTAGACACACATCCTTTCATTTTATGGCATTTTCCCATAAAAACTTTCTCATCAATTTTCTCATCAAACACCGCCCATTCTTCCAGTGAATTAATTAAACCAGAACGATAGTTGGGTAAATCGAGTGGAATATTTTAAATTGATTGGTTATTGAAGGTGCGAAATGGGTGGGTTATTATTATCAAGGAAATAAAAACAGGATGTTGCGATTCCGTCGTTTTCTCAGTGCTTCCTTTTATTATCCTACCTATATACGACTTATGCCTACTTTATGTTCCACGAACGGCAACGCCTTGCATCTAAAAACCGCACACGCATCTTTTTTCCCCCCTCATTTCCCATTAATATAAAATCATGAGTTCATTAAAAATTTTCATATACATTCTAATGCCTCTAATATGTTTTCTAATAGTCCAATTAAATATTCACAACAAAAGAGCAATAAAAGGGAACAACACTTCAATGAAAAACAAATAATATTTCCCCAGTTGAAAAATAATGCAAAATTACTTCACATTTTTTCATGACAAAAAAATATTGATGAAATTGAAAATTGCGGAGAGAATCGAGCGAATGAATGAGATAGTCAAATTTTTTTTTTAATAGTTTAGTGAAATAACAAATGATTTGAGTTTTAACTGAATAGATCGGTTGGGAATTCTTTAAAAATGAATGGAATACAAATGTTTAAAAAATGAAAAAAAAGGGGAAAACGTGTGGCTGTGGGCAATGAAGTAGACGTGTAAATAACAACGAAAGAGAATACGACGAGAGCAGGTTCTGGACTGCAATGCCCGAAGCGTAGGAGTTAAAGTGAGGAATCAAGGGAAATGGTAAGTTTACACTGTTCCAAACTGGCATCAATCGTACACAAAAAAAAAATCATCACCATTCTGTCCATCTCAATATCGCTGAAAACGTCATTTTTCCATAATAAAATTTCACTCTTATTGTCTCACCCCGAATAAACAACCGGCATTACAAACAAAAAAGTGGCAAAAAAAAAAATCGAATAAATCATTTGAGGGAACAAATGGTTATTTCGGGTGAAAACGCCACTGAATTTTTGTGTTGTGAGGGATTGGGAATAGAGTGAAGAGAAAAAAAAAGGCGAGTTAGAGGGGAGAAAAGAGAGATAAAAAAGTGAGAAGAGGGTAGAGGGGAGACTCGAGACTCCATTGAACTCGCGTTGACTCGTTTTATAATACACGTTTTTTTTTTTTCCAACACTAAAAAAACCAATGGCTGTATCCGAATGGTGGCCAGTTGAAACTGATAAACACAACAATAGATTGATGAAACACATGTTATATTTGATATTGAATACACGTGATTATGATAATCGTACCGATTTTGATCTTTAGCCTCTCTTCAACGCGAACTAGGCGCGTCTCCTCGGCCATGTTACCTCCATGACACTAGTGAGTGACTGCACGAACGGAGGAGGCGCACGGCACGGCGCACCGCACCGAGAGGCCAGCCCGCTAGCCGCTAGCCCCTAGCCGCCAACCGCCAACCGCCAGCCACCAGCCACCAGTCCAACACCAGCCGCTCATTCTGTGAATGGGTTTTCACCCCAGTGCCGTAACAACTTTCAAATTTACACGTGTAGTACGCCCCACAGGGCCCTCTCACACTTTCTTTGCCACACCACAACAATCCATCTTTTTTGGTTTAAAAAAGAATAACAAAATTTTAAATCGAAATTTTTTCATGTAAATTTCACCCGAATGTTAATTTTGTTATCCATCATTTTCGTTGTTCGGAAAATTTCATAATTTGGCTGGTAATTATGGGGAAGGTTTTGTTTATGTCGAAAGGGGAGAGACTATCGTTTTTTTTTTGATTGTATAATTTTGGCTGGAAATGTAGAATGTTGTGAAACGTGAATATACGGAATTTTCAGTGAATGTGAGTGCATCTTCGATTTTTGAAGGAGAGGCCGTAAAAATAGTAAAGTTCACGCTGGAAATCTGAAATATCGAGAATGATATACTTTTTTCAAAATGAACCAATTTTTTAGAAAATCGTTCTTTCAGATATCTCACAAACTACTTATTTTTTCTTCTTTTTCTTTTCATCCTCGTGTCATAAAAACTCTTCTGTTTCACCAATTTTTATGGTAAATAGTGTCGAATCTCATGACATGTGGAGAAATAGGATTTTTAGGGTCATGAGGGTATGTATGTACGATTACTTTTGTTTTTACTTTTGAATTTTCAGCCAATTCAACACAAATACAGAAAAATTTCTGTATAAAAGTCTGGAATGTAGGTCTGTCACAGCTATATATATGACTTTTTAAACTTTCATCTTTGCTGGTTTGTTTATTTTTCCTGTTTCAATCGCAGTTGCTCTATTAAAAGTGATTGTTCTAATAACTGACACCAATTTGCATCATCTCCACGAAGCTGTTCTCTCACAGCGTCCTACCTATTCTAATACATCCAACAACATATTAAAACTCAATTCATCTATACATTTCCTTGATTCACTCCTAGATGCAATTCACTCGAATATTTTCTCATCTCCAATTTGTAATTCATAATTTCTCATAAAACATCGTTTTGCAAAGGTATGACAAAATATTATATTTAATATATTCATATTCATATTTTTCATGTTTAGTTATTGTATTTATTTAAATTATTTGTTGCTGATTGCATTTTCAAAGGATATGAGGGTCCCTTTCCATTTGAAGTTACGAATGTGTTGGATAAAATGATAAAATATCCAGCGAAATATCCCCATGCATTTTATAACCCACATCTTATCTCAGAGAGCCAATTTATATGTTCGCTCTTGGTCACACATGCGGAATTGTGCGTGTTGGTATGTACGAGTTTAAACTCGTCGCGTGTACTTCCTGAATGGTGCAATGGTCCGTTTCCTCCTATTATCTTAAAAATTTTCAACCCCTTCCTCCCATGAAAAACTTATTTCCCCCAGTTATCATTAATCGTCTTACTCATGGAAAATGATGAGAGGATTTTTTTTTCCCTGCAAATTGTAATGTCATAGTTTGCTCGTTCAGAGAAAGAAATACAGAGTATCGAAGGGGGGAGCAGTTGACGGCATGAAGATAAAAAATATGAATGAATAGCGTGACGGTGTACGTGTGAGCTTAACCGACAACCGTTGTTTGTCATTCAGCACATGTTGAGTGTGTACTACAATTAACTCAACTTTCTGGCGCATGCGTCATAAAATATACGAGATACTGCTCCTACCGAAATTATATATACATTTTATTATTTTCCTTGACACGCTACTGCATAAGGATGTTCGACAACTTTTTAAGAGACATTCAAGGTTTTTTTTTATTTGTCTGGCGAATTATTGATGGGACTGAAGAGAAAAAATATAAAACTTTTGCTTTTTGTCGTTGTTTAATTGCTTACGAAGTTTCGCGATGGTGCGATTATTTTCACGTGATTTTTATATTTTGTCATTCTTTTTGAAGGTTTAGAAAGAGTGCAGGAAAATGTTCGCACCACTTTGAATTTTGGTGAGCTATTAAATAATGAGATCATGAGAAAACGTAAAAGTTATATTTCACGTCAATCCCATCAATAATTTTCAGAAAAATATCAAAAACGTGAATTTTGGAGGAAAGGGTTTAGAACAACCATAAGTACTAATTATTGACAAATTATTTTCATCTCCATCTGTTCTAAACTCAATGATAAGAATCACGAAAGATTGGAGAAAAAAATTATAACGCTAATTATTTTCCTGGTGTATAAAATTCTGTAAAGTGTGTACTTCAATTTTCCAGAGTCTGGAGAAGCTAAAATATTCATAATTAATTAATATAATATAATGAGTGAGCTTTGTCAATGTTTTCTCTCCAATGTTCCGTAATTCCTGAAATCGGGTACTAATTATTCCTCAAAATTCATTTGACCACCTTGTTGTGTTTGCACATACATTACTGGTGGAACATTTTCTCAATTCATTCATTCACTTTCTTCTGGTAGCAACTCATTAGAATATTTATTGTAGAGGAAAGGAGTGAGTTTAAACTTGCTCCACATACACATGTACATAGTACGTTCAATGAGTTTTACGGTATTGGTCTGCACTCGTTCATCAGTCGTTTCATTCGCGATTAATATGTTAATCGGTCGTGCGTATCAATGGCTTTAATCAATATTCATTCATTCAAGTGTGAATTCATGTGTGTAAGTATGTTCCTTGTATTTTTAATAGTTAATAAATGGGTGTGTTAACTCCGATGGAGAAATTGTGCGTAATAATTATTTGTTTAATAAATATTATAGATATGCTGCAGGATTTGTCCGTCCTTTATTTGAATTCTATTTGATGTGTGGTATTTTCGATTTTTTAATGAAATTTATGCAGGAAAATGTGAGTTCACATTCACGAATTGAAAATTTTTCTTTTTTAGCTAGGCGAGGCAACCCAGGAAATAATTCAAATGCTTAGTGATACATGAAACATCGGTTTCAAGAACTGCACAATGAGTGGGCATCGAAATTGCTATTTGTTGAAACAAACCTAGATGAATTTTAGTAGATGTGGAAGCATTTCATCATTGGAAATTTAAATAAGAGTCAAAATTTCTTACCGATACTAAAATTCCTCAAAATCTATGAAGAAAAATCGGCACAAGATTTAAGTTAACTTCATTTCGTCGTTTTTTCGAAAGATTTTAAAATTCTCAATTTTTAGGCTTATAGATTGTGATTACCGTTATGTACAACGCCATTTTCTGCTTGACATTGTTCTAAGGAGTAATTGCTGATATCTTTTCATTTTTAATGGTTCTTGAAAATTCAAGGGAAACCTTGGATTAAATTGGCGTGGAAAAATATACCGTTTTTACGTTTTATCATTATTCAATGAGTCGCAAATTTTCATAGCCGCACATTTATTTTATTCTTTTATCTTTTATCTTTTATATTCTTTTTGGTGAAGTTTTGCGAATTATTGCAAAAAATTACTGAGAACGCGGAAAATTCTTCTACAATAATACAACTTAAAAACGATATATTTTTTAGTGTCATTTTTGTCAACCGTTTCTCCGCAATTTATAAAAAAGGAAAAATAGGAAATATCGGTAATAACTCGTTAATTTTCCCTTCCAGAACCTTTGAAAATTGTCAAAATTAACGAGAATACTAGAAAGTGTATTAAATTTTCATTGTCGATTACGTTTGATGCCAACTGTAAGAATAACATGGAAAAATAGTTCATCAGATTGCAGCAATTGAGTCAAGAATAAAGTGTAATTGAGATATCTCAATCATCATCATCAGTTAGAAAGGAGAAGGAAAAACTGAAAACAATAGGATCATTGAGTCGCCCCATTTACGCAAGAGATGGACTCATGTTTGATATTTTTTTCACTCTACCATTCTCCTCTGCTACTTCTGTGAGTACTTCACTCAGAAAGATAACAGACAATTCCGAGAGGGAGACTTAAAAACTCTCTTTTTCCATTATCTGATACATTTTTCTCTCAAGCTTTCACAATTTCTCAACATTTTGTAATTCCTCTTAGTCAATTATATCATGGGAGTATTTTGTTTCCCTCTTAATGCGTGAGATTGGGGAACATGGGAAAAAAAAATAATAATTGTCGAGACTTTTTGTGTGTGAATTAGATCATGAATTTACCTGTTTACGGCGTCTAGGTGCAGCGAATCACTCATGAAGAAATTGTTTAATATGCCTTGACGATTAGAAGAAAATCAAATTAGTGGTTGAGTGGGTCTAATTGTCATCACAGCGGGCCCAATAGTGTGATGGAAAAGCAGTGAAAATACTAAACTCACAAAATAAAATTCAATTCAATTGCTCGAAGTGCTGAACGAGATGATTCGAATCAGGAGGTAATTGTTTTTATCTCATCATCACATATTGTATAATGATCGTATTTCCAAAGTTTGCGTCATTAGTTGGAGCATATATTTTTTGAATAGATTTAAAATATATATAAGTTCTATTAGTGATATAGGGATAATTACCATAATTGGAATAAATGCATAATATACTTGGATGAAGGCACAACCCACTAACATTTAAATCTACTCATCTAATCCATGTTCTCCTATTTTGTTTTTTTTTCTATATAAAAAAAGTACATAAAGTTTAATGACAACAATTAATCGAAGGAAATTATTTGATTTTTCTTACTGATTTAAATGCTGTAGTAATAATAGATGATTTAGGAATCCAAATTGGAAACTTACTAACCCAAAGCAATTTTTTATGGAAAAGCTTTTGTGGTTGTGATAAATTAAGTCTAAGATCTAGCCGCACATGACTTGACGCACAAAATCCTCGTAATTGATGTTACCCTGAGAATCTTCATGCCCAGCTAGGAGGGTCTCTACCTCTTCATCGCTCAGTTTTTCACCTGTAAACAAAGGGACAGAATTTTAGAAAATTATGATACAATTTAATTTAAATTTAGTGGGTCATCTGTGACAGTTGCAGTTAAGAAATTAATAAATTAATAAAAAATTGGGGCCCTATTCGACCAGATTGAATGAGTATTAACACGAATGGGACTACAAGATGGATAGATTATATATTCTATATATTATCCAACTGAAATGCTTGAATTATAATAATGAAAATGCTGAAATGTGTTAAACAATGAAAAGTCATTGCATGAAAAAAAAAGTATTCAAATATATTTTTTCATCCATCCATTACTTTTAAGATTCGGTGAAGATTTTAGGAAAATTCACAATACTTCGGATAAACGTAGAAAAAATGTTGCGCCACTGTGACAGTTGGTTAATCGAATAAGGATATAATTATTAATTTAAGAATTAAAGAACGGTATATTGTTTCGCATCATTCTAATTAATGATATGCCAGGCATGTGCAAAAAGACATGAAAAGTCGTGGGGAGGCAGTAATAAATCCTTAGAATGTACCTGAAGGGAGAGAAAAATCAATGAATCTATGGGTCAATTGGATAATGATTAATTCTAAGATACAACTGATCTGAAAGTTAAATTTTACTCTTGCAATGATATGCCGTCTAGCCAGACATGGTAAAATCGAACTGCAATCTTTATCTCTAACCTCAAAACTGGAAAACGATTATTTCTCTATATGTCTGTGTATTATTTGCAGTCTCTGAAGGAATTATTGTTGATTTATCAAATTCTGTAATAATATCGAATTCGATCTGAAATATTTTTCGTAGTTTAACTGAAGCTCTGCTGATGCTACTTTCAATAGAAAATGACTCCAACAATCGACTAAATTAAAGAACAATTCCATATTTTGAGATTGTTGAGAAAATCAAAGTGTTTGATTATATTCTATTTATTCTCTGATCTCGTCATTTTTATCGATATCTTTCGTAATTTTTTTCGTTTGATAAGGGTGCGTTAATTAAATTGCTAATTAAATGGCATTCTATTGTAAACTGCTAATTGTCTTCCCGGGTTTATATCAGAATCTCAACAGAGATGAATAATTTATGTATTATCTTCTACACTTTACCGCACGATTAATGAAATGAATATTCACCTAGAGTCGTCAAAAGATGTCGCAGTTCAGCCGAGGAAATGAAACCATTACCATCCTTGTCGAAGTGACGCAATCCCTCAATGAAGTCATCAGCAGTATCTGAAGTTCGGGCTTTGCTAATTGCTTGGTAAATCGGAAGGAAAACTTCGAAGCTTATGCGCTCATCGGGTTTGTGCTGATGCGTAAATTTTTTCACGTCACTTTCGGTGGGATTCTGGCCCAGGGCCCTTAGGGCATCACCAATCTGCGAGACGTGGATCTTCCCGTCTCCACGGCTATCAAAAAGCTGGAAGGCTTCTTGAAACTCTGGCAAAATAAAAGACGTGTATACAATCATTATTTTATTCTCTTTGAGTTACTTTTTTCATATTATTATACATTAAAGCTAAATTGTTGATCATTCATCGCTGATAGTTTCACATCAATACTTTAAAAAAAGTGTTAAACTAGGAAATAGTCCCCTAAATCCCCTTTTTTTCGAGGCCAGTGTTCAGTCAACTTCTCTAAATTGAAGGAACATAGTAAGATTTTCATAGGCAGCTTTTTGGAGCTCTCATTTATTTCTATAAAAAATGTTCATGGAAAACAATTGATATTTTCCTTCAGTTCCGAGATATTGGCTAAAAACTGGCCTCGAAGAAAAATATATTTATCCTAGTTTATCACTTCGCTTTTTAATTCAGCTTGGCATGCGAATGAAGTGTAGAAAAGAATTTAAAAACCAAGTAATGCATGTGAAAATTGGAATGAATTCCGATTTGAGTTTTAAATGAATTTCGGCAAATGTAGGGCCAGACGAAGAAATTTTCATGAAGACGTTTCCAATAATCATATTTAACTTCTCATTTGAATCTTGAATTGTGTTGATAAATGACTATCGGAAATGGTGATAGATTTATCAAATCATAATTGACTATAATTAACTGATTTATCAAAAAAGTAACTTTTGATTCAATGAAATATTTACCGTCCATAGAGGAGAGCATCCTATTCGTAAGTTCTTGATAACTAACGTACATTATCACGTGAAATTATCAAGAAAAAAAAGTTCAGCGAATTAAAAAAAAATGAAGAAATGATATTGTCAAAATCTCAACATGTACTGCGTTAGGATGCCAATGTTATAGCCGCAAGAAAATACCGAGTGCACTGAGAAATCTACAGACTGAGTCAAGATTCACATGAAAAAGGTATAAGTGTTGAAATAACAGTCCATAAATGGCAATGCTCAGTGAATAAACGAGCAACACTGGGGTTGTGTCTAAAAAGGGAAGGATACTCTTGACCTCAATTGAAGAAAAGAGTCGCCGTAAGGAGATATTTAAATAAGGGAACACGATCAAATCGGTTCTCATTGACATGAACAATTTTGGATACACCAAGACGTTCACTTACCCGCCAGCTGATCCTCTGAGTACGACGCCTGAAATTCAACAGATTCATTTTATTAATTTTATCGCACATCAAATTGGGGAAATACTGCTGATTTAACCTCAATAAAATTAACAAATTGTGAAGTACTTACCATTGTATCAACTTGTTTGAGATTGTGAACCCTAAAACTCGTGTTATTCCTCGTGATGAAAATTTATGGGGCAGATTAATTACCGATTTATTGAATAATAAATGTACCACAGGTGATGGACTCCGAGTTTCGATGATCCGTTGTTGGATACGTTAATAGTGTAGTGACTTATAATGTCGCCATACTGAGAATCCGGGATATGAGTCACTGTTCAAGCATTTCATATTTTGTGGTGATCATGCAGGAAAATTTCTCAACAGTGATTGACCTCAATTATCGTCACTCATATGGAGAAAAATACAGCAGCAATATTTGTTGTAAAATTTTCTTAGTACGTGCTCCAATTTTTTATTTTCAGAACATTGTTAGGGCATTGGGTTCGCTTGTATAGGAATGCATGTACAAACACGAATAACATCTGTGTTTGTGAGGAAGTGACAGTGCCCTCTTGGGACGATTTAAATCAGAAGGCGGAAAAGGTTTTGAGTGTAGAAATATCTTTTACTGATACAATTTTAAGATACATGAAATTAATATATTACACAAAATAGATTTATAACATTTAGAAGGTCGTCATGGATTGGGTAGGAAGAATTCCTTTTTCTCTAATAAACAATAATTTACAATGAAACGTCCAGTTCTTCGGTAGATTACTCGATACGGACTTTGTATTAGTTTTTTACGTTTCTTATATTTCGTTTAGAAAAACTTATTTATGTCCGATACTCAATTTTGTTTTTAATGTCGAATAGCCAGTGGCAAGTATTTGAATGATATTGAATGAATATTTGAGTTGATCCTGTACCGTTCGCTTTGAACTTTTCGGTTTCTATTCCTAATGAAGGACTTATACTATTTTGAGATACAAGTGCAAAAAAGAGAACTTCTTTACACTTGTATTTTGAATACAGGGCGATTAACCCTACGAATAACGAGAAAATTTGTAAAGAAGATTTAATCAACGTACACTTTTTATAATGTGAAATTATATTAGCATATGGGATAGATTCGAATTAGATTATAGAATTCCGATATCGGGGAAACGGCTGATATTGAAGTTCTATTTTTTTCTTTGAATTCTTGTTATTTTTTGAAGGATTATTGTAGAGTGAAATTGAGCATTTCCACTAATGTCTTTTAACCAGTTGGTTACAGATATGTTTTAGAGTACAAATTATATTTATTTCATGAATATGTTCATGCTTTATTTTTTCATAGTCATATCATTTGGGTATCACTTCCGCGCTGTCTTGCATTCAATTTGTTTTTCGATCTTTGAAAAATCTAGTTGAACTTGGAATTTTACAATTAGTCATCTGTAGATTTAATCGGCTCAGTTTGGCTTTATGATACGATATATAATTTTCACTACATGTTTCCAATGCCGTGAAAAAGGTCCACTTTGTCGCTTCTAATTTCCGCTATATTCGCGATTTTTTCTTTCCACTTCTGATTCAATTCAATGTTAGATTGATTTAAAGCTCGGGTGGATCATCTAGAAAAGATCATTTACTCCGAAATTCGGATTCCTAATTACTTTGGCAATTAATCTTTTTTTTCAATAATTGTTAGCTAGCGTTCTAGCGGTTGTCAACAACTAG